AGCCAATGTCACATTCCTGTAGAGGCAGTTTAACCACTGCTATTACTGTGTTTGTGACTGGTTACCACACATGAGCTTTGTGATTAAAATTAGACTATTAGAAACAGCCAGTTTCTTGAGAGAATTAGAAAAAACACAGGGGGGGGAAGCGATTCTCTTTGAAAACAAAAACTGAATCAAGTAATATGTTTCCAATCATAGCAGATGGGGCCTACTTCTTTTGTGTCTTAGTAGGGTAAACCAGGAGAGATGTGACTGAAGGCAATAGCGTTTCACACTGTTACAGTTGGTGCGGGTTAAAGGAGGCTCAGTTCAGTCATTTATTAAGTGCTCAGTGTTTCTCATCAGCCTCTCAACTTTGCAGCTTTTCAGCATTCAGGCTTAGTTCTGAATTTTGCATGGAGTTGCAGTCTTGTAATTGGTGTGAATCTGACTATCCTGGACCAAAAGACCCCTGACTTTTAGGGTGTTTGGAAATCAGAGTTCACATTAGAGCCTTTTCCTCTTATCTATACTCTGTGTAAGCTGCTGGGTTTAAAATGAGACGACTCCAATGTTCTACCTTGAGCAGAATGGGCTTAAAATGAGCTTTTCACAATCTGCAGGTGATGGCCTTCATTGGGTTTGTGGACACAGCTAGAGCAACCAGCCTATATTACAGCTTCCTAAATGTCATGGGCAAAAGGAGCTTAGCCAAGTCCCCCTGCTCTATCTGCCTTACCCACTGCACTGTAAAATTACCGGAGCTTGACTCTTCTGACATGCACAGATCTGAGTTTATTTACACTTAAATGACCTTTGTTGAATGGAAATACTTAGAAGCCAGATTCAGCGAGATATTTAGGTACCAGAAAGAACAAATGACTATCATGATATTAAAGTACATCTTTTTGAGCCCAAAACCTAAAGCCAATGCTTAGTGACCTTATTATTAGGACTTAAATATGTCACCCACACAGGTACTTTCTTAAAGCCTATCTGCATCCTTAAAGAGTCTGAATGCTGTTGTAAGTCTGTTTGTGGATCTCTTTTGGAATGAAATTTAGGCTCCCAAGTCACCTGAAACCTGCATCAGTTTTGAAACTTGCACTGCTAGTGGCCTGTTAGCTGTGAAGGAGAAACTCAAGTGGCTATCTCAGTACCTAAAAAAGAGGGCTGGGAATTAGGAGCCTGGTTCTCCTCCCAGCACCATTGCTGACTTGTTATTTGATGTTCAGCCTTTAGCCCTGCAGGTGATGCTGGATGCAGTGGGCTGCTGCAAAGCTCATCAGTGTTTTTGCAGGAGGGTCGCCATATGAAGATTAGAGGCAATGGTGCAAAGGGCTCTTTCAGGTGGCCTGGAGGGTCACAACCTGTGCACGCTGGCATGTTTACAGATGCATACTGCTCTAAAACTATGAGTCTGGGGCTGGGTTTAATTGCTTCGTAGTGAGAGCTGCACCAGCCCTGGCTTTTCACAGCAGGTTTGGGCTGCAAGTGATAGTAGCTCAGTGGAAGGTTATACACTTTTCCATTTGTTCCCCATGAGCATCATCATATGCTGTGATCCATCACATTAGAGGTTGTGACCCTTTGAATCATCATTTGTGGTGCTCATGCCATGTTAATTCATTGTGCTTTCTGTGGCATGATTTTTCACTTGGCTCTGAGGGACTCTTCTGCATCCTTGATAGTCGATCCAGCTTACCTTACTGCTCCTCAGTGCTCAGAGGGCATTTCTGTCACCCACACAGGGCTTGTGAAGCCCAGGACAGGCAATCTGCTGGTGTAAATCCTTGTGGTTAGTGGGGCTGCTCCTGGGAAGCATTGGTTGCCAGTAGGAGTAAAGGTTCACCATGCACAAGGCTATAAAATGCTCCAACTGATCAAATTCATCTCCATTTCAACGGAAATTGAAGCTTACTTGAAGATGTTGGTAGAAAATAATGGCTAGTGACACCCTCTTAGGTGGCTTTGAATGCCATGAAATAGTGATAAAGGACTGGATTCTGTCACCCATAATCACTTTAGGCATTTCTTTTGCTTGGCTGCAGAGCCTGGTGGGGACCAGGGGAAAATCTCACCCCTCAATTCCTCTTCTTGTAGCTGCTTTTATTAAACAGGCGCCTTCCCTGTCCATGTGAATAAAGGGGGGAGAGAGCAGTTCATTATTCAGTGTATCACTTTGAGCCTAATACTAATTAAAAGCTTTACCATCGCTTCTGTGGAGTCTATTCTTAGGAATTATGTAAATTAATTGGACTTCTGAAGAGGAGCATATGCCAAATCCTAAGTAATTCCCTGCTGGCTGAGGCAACTCCAGCACTGGAATCGGTGAATACTGATAGTATTATCTTCTGGATCTTCTTTTCCTTTTGTGGCTACTTTGGTAAATTTTGATGCTTCTCTTTAGCAAATATATGAGAAAGATCAAACATCCAGGCTTTGACCAGATACGGTACAAAGGCGTTTTCTCCATGAAAGCTTTTCCATCTCAAAAATGACATTTAACACAGACAGGCTTTTTACTTCTACAGCACCTCACCACACTAATGTACGTTCCTGCTTCAAAGAGGGGTTTGACCCTCAAAAGAGAGATGTACCTGAGATCCCATGAACTCCCCTTCTGAGTTCACTCTTGCTATTAATTTAATGGGGAAGATATTTATGTGCTATGCTGAATGAGAAGGGAGACTTGATCCTAAGGTACATAGTGCATGGAGAAAAGGGGATATGCTGTTGAAGTAAAATAGCTTTAAATGTTATTAGCTTTCTTTTTTTTTTTTTTTTTCTTCTCAACCTGTTTATTTTTGTCCTTTGAAAAAGGCCAAAACAAATACCAGGAGATGAACCAAAAAAAAAAGATTCAAATAAAAATGAGAAGTAATATGGTTTGGTCTCGATATATTTTGGTCTCAATCAACAAATCACTTCAAAAGTTGATAAAACTACTTGCATGTTTAAATATAAACACTGTTAAGTACTTTGGTGGATCTTGGGTTATACTGGAACTTCTTGGTGGGAAGATGCTGCATGGTGAGCTTGCTTCCACATGTACATTTTGCAAAGCTGCCTTTTCTTTGCCATCTCACCTTAAGGATTAAGAGACATCGAGTGTCTCATGCAGGAGGCGGCAGCACTCCGGCACAGATGCTTCTTACCTTTGGAAATTTGAAGTTCAGAGCTGGTGAGGTCTGAATTTTGCAGCCATCACCTTTTCCCAAGATGACAATTTGGTGACCTGTCCATTTGATGCATCCCTGGTGCTAGGCAATCTCTGTGTACGAGGAGCCAGATTTTCTTCCCCTGTTCCTGCTTCTATTCAATGAAACTGTGCAAAGCTGCTAGAAATGGGTCTCTGGTCTCTTTGGGGCTTTAGTGGTGTGGAAGTGACTGCCAGCAAGCACAGGTATGGCTGATGGTTATGCTACACTGCAGGATGCTCAGACTCCTGAATGTCTTCTCCTTCCTCAGCCATTCACTGGGCTCTGGGCCATTTTCACTCCATCTTCCTCAGTTTCCCCGTGAGTTTGTGCTTGTTCTGTGAGACTAAATCCATTATGATTTTTTTTTTTTGGCTGCTTTTTGGTTCCCACAGAAAAGGCTCCCTAATGCTGCAGGTTGGTGAGATGAAAATAGCGGTTCATTTAATCATGCTTGGAGCTTGTAAAAATCCTTATCTCTACTAGCACCAGTGATGTAAGATCCCAAAATAGAAGTTGTTAAGTGTACAAATGAAGACAGTTCTTGGGAAAAGAAAGCACAATGACATACAACTTTGGATCAATAGAAAATCATTTTAGAACAAGAATACAACATGTAGCAATGAATGTAGATGGGAACGATATTGCTAACCACATAGTAGAGAGCAAGCTTTCTGCATGCGTTTTGGAGTCGCCTGTATGTGTGTGTTAAATATAACATCATCTCTTTTTGTGCTTGTATTGGCTAATGCACAGATGGTTTAGAAATACTGCAGGACATTTTTATTGAATGAACACAAAATATGATAATTACTCTGGAATTAGGATGCCAACTTGTATGCGTCTTAGACAGGGGTCATGAGGGATGGAGTGATTTGCTGGATGTTAAATGCCAAACTGGTGGCAAATCAGGGAATTAAAACTCAGTTGCTTCTGCATTTCACATCTGTATCCCGCTGCCACCTCAAAGCTGTGGGGTGAAGCCCTCGTTGTGCAGTTTTCTGGGTGCAGCCAGGTTTGATCCTGGGTAAAAATGTTGTGGTGGGCATGTACTTGAGCACAGCTGCGTGTCTCACCAACATGTTCTATGATTGCCCACATTTTGGGTCCAAGTTCATTGTCTGCGCCCTACTCCACCTTTAGTCTCCTGGGTGAAGAGAAGATCTTTCCATTTTGCAGCGCATGGAAACCAGCCCAGGTCATTCTTTTGGTGCCCTGCAGGAGCTGGACATTCATCAGGGTAAATAACGTCCACCCCGAGCTGTTTGCATCCATGTTGTGCATTACCCCAGGGGATGTCAGATCTTAGGAACGTGTTCTTCCCTGTGGGGTAGTGAGGGCCTGGAAGAGAAACTGTGGCTGCTCCATCCCTGGTAGTGTTCAAGGCGAGGTTGGACACAGGGGCTTGGAGCAAGCTGCTCTAGTGGAAGGCGTCCTTGCCCGTGGCAGGGGTTGGAACTGGATGTTCCTTAAGGTCCCTAAACCAGTCTCATTTCTCAGACAGGTCCTCATTTTGGTGACAGGATCTCCTTGTTGACCAAGTCAGGTTAGACGCTGTTGACAAGATGGATGCACATTATGTTTTAAATATGATGGGCTTGGTACTGCAGATCTGTCCTCTAGGAGTGAGGCTGCTCCCTCTGTGTGGTTGGGTTGGCATGGAAAGAGCACAGGACCAGGAGCAGCCAGTTGGGAGTCAGTCTCCTAATCAGCTAAGTGACAAAATCCACATGGATGCATTTCAAATAGATATGCTGACCTCTTCTTTGAGGATGGCACAGGCATACCATGTGCTTCTCTTCCCATCTCTTCCTGCAGGACCATGCTGATTTGCGAAACCACTTCTTCACTGTGGGGATGAAGCTGGAGGCGGTGAATATAAGGGAGCCATTTCATATCTGTCCTGCATCAGTGACCAAGGTGAGTTCCCAGAAAAGAGGGATGAAAACAGCTGACATTAAAAATCCATGGATGTTCCCAATTAATGAATGAATTCGTTCCCACAATCATCACCAGCTAATTATGTGCACATAAATCCAGTGGGGATGGGCATGTCCATCTACCACGTCCATGCAAAAAAAAGGATCCCTCTTTTATCCCTATCTCCCCTCCATGTATATGTGTTTTCTGTGCACATCTGGGAAGCCTTTTGAAATAAAGCAGGTGGATGGACACTTTAGCTGGATCCACACTTTCAAGGAGAAGAGAGAGAGGCTGTGGGGTTTATAGGATTGCCTCCAGTCCCTGCTCAGCTATGGGCACACAGAGTGACCATAAACCCCAGCGCTTCCCCTTGCCTCAGTTTACCCACGTCTAAAACTCAGGCTTTGATTTCTTTGGTGGAAACACTTTAATGCGAAGTGTTAGGTTAGAGTGGGTTATTTCCATGAATGATTTGATTCCAGGGCCTGGCTGTCCACATTCCTTAAAGTTACAAAGAATTTAACTTCTGGTCTTGTTTTCTTCTTTTTCATCCCTTAGGTTTTTAACAATCATTATTTACAAGTGACCATTGATGATTTGAGGCCTGAACCCAGCAAAATCTCAATGCTTTGCCATGCGGATTCCTTAGGGATCTTGCCAATACAGTGGTGCCTTAAAAACGGAGTCAATCTCACACCTCCCAAGGGTTTGTATTCCTTCTTGCTGATTTCCTCTGAAGGAAGCTTGCTTGTTATTATTGCCTTTAAAACCATGATGCGTTCATTGCAGACCATCACCATAAGTATCTGAAACCAGAGTAGCTCTATTGAGTCATTGCAGCTGTTCTGGCTCATACCAGCCCATGAACATCTCTGCAAGCAAGTCTTGCTGGTGGATTGATGTCCGTGTGCAGCCTGCTTTAGAATGCAGTCTGAATCAGGCTGCATTGAAACCTAGTGTATTCCCATGAAATGCCTGTTAGTGATGCTTTGTGTGTGTAGAGAGCAAAAGGAGCATTAAAAATCATATCATACTAGAGGCAAACCAGGCATCTCCCTGAAATTCCTCAAGCCCCCCCTTCCAAAAAAACCCCAAACGCTTAAGTTTTGTACACACAGATTTGTCTTAATTTTGGAAAAAACATGCTGCTGCCAAGCCCATGGAAGTGAAGGGTTATTCCCTACCACATTCAGAGTCCTCTTATGTGTATCCAGCATATCTCTTCAGCACACAGGATTAGAAATTCCCAACAATGTCCTGGAGTCCTGTGCGTGCATCTGCATACGGTGCATCCATGATTACCCTGTTGCTTTTACTGACATAAATGTGCTGTCTGGATGCAGACTCTCTCCTGCTTGAATCCCATTGGAAGGATAATTCCTGTCTAACTGCTCGCTGATACTTGGCTAGAAAAGTTGCTACAAATGAAAGTCCGTGGAATGTGTTGGTTTTGCCACCCCAAATTCACATGCAGCTTCTCCCATGCCAGCTAATTAACTAAAATAGAACATCGAATCATAGAATGGTTTGGGTTGGAAAGGACCTTAAGATCATCCAGTTTCAACACCCTGCCATGGGCAGGGATGCCTCACCCTTGACTGTGTTGCCCAAGGCTCTGTCCAACCTGGTCTTGAACATAGGCCAGACATTTCTCTTTACATGTTCGTGGCCCAGTATTTTCCAGTCCATGCTGGTACAAAGCCTGTCTGAGATGGTGTTTTGTGGGCCAGGTGCATCTGAACTCTCCTTTAAATGCCAACATTTTTAGAAGTATCTGTAGCATCTGTTGTATGGATATTTCTCAACTTGGCCAGTGATGTCTAAAGGAGAAGTAGTTATCTGGTGTGGTGCCTGGGGATTGGGGTCCACGTGAGCTCCTCAGAAAATATAGGAAGTCTCCCCTCATTCCCCTGATGAAATAATTTTGGTTTCTGCTGTCAGATCAGAAATACTGGGGGGAAGCTATTAAAAAGGCATAAAGCAAGTGGCAGATAGATACATGCTGTATATTCCTGTATTTCTTACTATGCAAGAGGGCTGGGCGCCCAAACTGCATTTTAGCACCTTTGGTGTCAAAACCCTCTTTCGTTGGCAGACATGCTCTTTGAGTCACTAAAATATAATCAGTTGTTAGAATGATTTCTTTGTTTTAGAAAACAACAACAAAAAACCATAAACCACCAAAAAAAGAAAGCACAGGGAAATGATCCGAGCCCGCACTGAGGTAGCCAGTCTTCTCTGAGCAGAATAATACCAGCTTTGAAGAAAGAAATAACCAGGACTGATAGGAGAGGGCTGCAGTGCTGTGGGAGTGCAGAAGGCTGTGGTGTGAGCTGGCAGCTAAAGAGCAGATCTGCAGGAGGAGGAAATCCCACCACTTCCACCCAAATCACTGGGCAGCTCTACCTGGGTACTCAGAGTTGCCCCTTCTCAGACCAGATTTGACCAGGCTCCTGCTTCCCCAGCACTCAACACATTCCCAACCAGCATCACCCTTAACAGAGAGTATGCTGACAACACTTAGCATTGCCCAAATGGTTCTCGCTTTTGAAAGGCAGGAAGTTCCCATGGAGAAAAAGATGGTGATGGAAGAAGAACTTTTTCTTTGGAAGGATTTGTTTGCTGTATTCTGGACTTGGTTTTTTTTGGTTAATTTATGATTGGCAAGGAAGTTTTCTGATTTTAAAATTAACTGGTTTGATTTCATCAGAACAGCGTGCCAGGTTGTGGTATTTGGGTTCAAAGTCCTTTATTTGTCTGATATCCTATTCTCTTGCCTTTTTTTCCCCTATCAGGCCTTTGTTGAAGCCAAACATTTACTAGATGAGTCATGAACAGGAGGTGCAAACATTTGCTACTAGAAATAGAGAGCAGTATTTTCCTGTACAGTGCCAAAAATGAATACCCATTTACTGCTGCTGTATAAACACTGAACAAGCACTGTTTATATTTATTAGAGCTGAATTTATAGACCACTTCCCTTTAAAGTAACACCTATTGTTCCTTTTTAATGAGCTATTAAGAGGGGGAAAAACATATTGGTGGTGCTCCTAGCTATAAGGCTAAGCAAGGAAATGCCACTTCCAAAACTTCCAGTGTATTTGTGGTGTTATATTTGCTTCTGATTAGACCACTGGGCTTTTCCATGCCGAGAGCAAACACGATGAGGAATGACATGGTTGAGGAGCACAGTTGAATCATACAAAGTTTTAAACATTATTACTTGAGCTGAGCAGTAAAGGATAACAGTATGTGAGTATCACGTGCTAATGGAGGTGCTGGGCACATAGTACGTCCCCGTGTGCTAAGGGAGGCGGCTTATATCATGATGTTCCATGAAAAGGCCATATACAAGTCCAGACTTGTTTGAAGCCAGTTCTTGAGTATGCTCATCTTGGATTCATCCTTGTTGGGCTACTGAAGTGAGTTATGGCAAACTCTAACTGCCCTCCCAGGTTTTGATCCTGCTGAAGTCTACAGCAAAGGGTCTTCCAGCAATCTCAGTGGTTCCAGGCCAAGCCAATGGTTGGTTGTGTGGTGACAGCACAGTCAAGTGTTTATACCTCACTGAAACTATGTCAATGTGCCTTTTCCATCCACTCAGCCAAGATTTTGTGTCACTTGCAGTAAAGATTCAAAACCTGTCCATTGGGCATTTAAATCAGAGATGAGAGAACATGCAGACAGATTTTTGGGTCCCTGAAGGCAGTGTGCCCTGGCAGCTGTGGATGACCCCATATGTTTTAATGTAGACAACTGTGCTACGACTTACATAGTTGTTATGTAGACAACTGAGCCCATCACCCTGGCTTCTTCTGGAGTCAATAGGGAGCAAGAGGGACTTTCAGAAGGCTCCTTCTGCAGGAGGACAGACAGATCACCTCCAGACCTGCCTGTTTCCCTGTTGACTCTTTAGGGGACCCAGGGGGACAGGCAAAACTACAGGCATTCCCACTGCAAACACCTGTATGCGATCAGATGATCTGTATGTGATCAGACAAATCCCCTTCTGATGTGATGTGCACTTCACCTCCTTTTTTCCATTTCATTTTATGAAGCTGAAAAGTATCTGGCAAACAAATAACTGGAAAGAAAAAAGGGGATGGAAGAAGAAGCGGGATGAAAACACAGTTCCAGAAATTGGTTGTTAAAAAACAATGCAAGGGTATATATTTTTGTATGAAAAATGAACATTCTCTATAAGTAACTGCCCCTTTTTTACTGTCCTGTGCATGTTTACTTCTAGCTTTCCAATTGTTATGCATTTTCATGCCCCACGGAGACAGGCATCTTGGCTCAAGGCTTTATCTCATTAGTTTGTTTGTCAGGCACTCATTAGAAGTTCATCTTATCCCATACACTTGCATGGTAGCAGGATGCTTGAGACTTTCTTTTCAGCATTTTTACCTCCTGTTTTGGTTCTGGGTGACTGTGAGGTGACTCCACTCAGTATTCCAGTCCTTGCCTACAAAAATGTCATCATTTTCATTGTGATAAATGATTAATTCCCATCTGATCTTGAGTGTCCCTTTTTGACTATCAATGAAAAAGGTATTAAGGGATGCTCTGTTAAATGAGGCCAAGCTGAGATGCCACACAGAGAGGCTGAGGCCTTTAGGTGAGTCCTGAGACTTCACTGAGAGTAGTTCTGCAATAATGTTAGTATTGACAGTGTCATCACAGGGCCCTGGACAGGATTAGCACTCTTTGGTTTCAAGCAGTATAAAAATATAGACTAAGAGGCAGACCAAAAGAAAAAAAAAAAAACCAAAAAACAACAACCCAAAAGAAAATAAGAAAACCCTTTTTCTTCCAAGATGTTTTTTTCCTAAATACCCAGGTAAAAAGAGTGGATGAGCAGAGTTCTGTTTTGTCTTTCTGTGATGAGACTGTTTGAGAGATGCTCACAGAAATCAATGTTGCTTCTCATTTTAATTCCTAGAAGCAGAGGCTGAAGGGATCTTCTACTTGATGAGGCTTTAGTCTTGGAAATCTGCATTCATTTTCCTGTTCTGCTTCAGATTTCTATACAGCCTTGGAGAACATGCTTACTATGATGGGATTCAGCTCATGTATGCGGAGCTGCTGGAAAGTCAGCCTTAGAGGGTATATCCATATCCATGAAGAGAGAGAATTTATCTCATGCTTTGAAAGAGAGGATGGATCAGCTTCTGATAGTGCTAATCCTCTCCCTGTCCACTGCTGTTGGGATCCTTGATGTCCAGCTCCATAACCCCATCTTTTAGATAGCTAAAGGAAGGAGAAAGAAGTCCTGGGTCAGTCCCACCTGGAAACTGGGACAGACACACACCTCACTAGTTATGGGTTTATTAAAGCCTGGGAGATGCTGACAGGAAAGGGAAAATAGGGAAAATAAACATGATTTATTACTTTTAACACAGACCTGAAGTTTTCAAAGTAAAATACAGAAGGTGTGTGAGTGAGGGCTTGAGAAGCATTGGCATTGGCTCTCATGGTGTATGAACTGGCATCCATAGAACCTGCCTGCTGGCACTGCACAGCTCACTGAGGTGGGATGCTAGAACACAAGTGTTTGTCTGCTTGGGGCTCATTTTGTGCTCTCTCTCTGGTGTGAAGAGGTGGCTGATGGCACTTTCTGTTCTGTCACACTGCAGGTTACTCTGGCCAGGACTTTGACTGGGCAGACTACCAGAAGCAGTGTGGAGCTGAGGCTGCGCCTCACCTGTGCTTTAGAAACGTAAGTTATCCTTTTGCCTTTGTGTCACTCCTGTTGATCCATGTGAAACAGAACAGCTTGCACAGGAAAGCGACAGGCAGCAAAGCTTTGAGAGGTTCTCCCACTCTACTACGAGTCTGACAGAAAGCAAGCTGGAGAAGTGTTTCAGGTCTCCATCCCTAAAAGAGAAGAGAAAGTATCTTACTCTTGTCTTTTTCTGATTCATTTAGATTTCATGGTCCTCATCTCTTCTCTGATCACTTAGCACAAGAAGGATCTCATTACAAGTAATTCAAATGCTATTAAGAAACAATAGGTAAAAAATTGCATGATATCATCTGGCCCTTTTCCCATTTCTCTCTTCTTCCCAGAGGCATACATTTAACCAAACCAAATGCATTTAAAAGCTAAGGTTGAAACTGTTGATTCAGAGTAAGAGAGGGGTGATTAACCTGAATGGGCGCTCTCATCTTTCCAGCAGTTCATGTGCTTCCTTGATACAGCAACAGGGATGTGAGCATGAGCAACACCTTTACGCTGGAGGCCATCAAGATTCAGAGCTTTGGCAATAGTCTTTTGCAGGCTGTTTTCTGGGAATGGCAGTCCAATATGGCTTGATCTGACGTGTTAATCACTCAGTGAAAAAGAGATGTAACCTTCTGCCTTTTCCAGTAACCAGGTGCTGCTCTTCATGCTCCCATCAACTGATGGAAGTTGAGATCCCATCAGGAGCTGACAGTATGGTGGTACCTAAAATGGGCAAAATCTATTGGTGTGTGAATGAGGGGCAAGCAGGTTCTTCAGGCATTACATAGCCTTTCACTTTACTTAGAAGACTGAGAGACAGGGTGTGTATGAAAATCAGGATGGAGACAGGCTCACAAGACACCAGACGTGTTTTTGCATGGCCTTCCTCATGGGTGGTGGCTCAAGAGCAGCCTTGAACAGACCTTTGATGGTGAATTGATGAATTTGGACACTTTTTGAATTCAGAAGACCTGTATCATCAACAGAGTTTGGCTTGGGAATCAAATCAGAGTTGGGATTTCTTTGCTCCATTTATTGTGCCATGCTATGCCTCAGTGCGCTTTAAGCAAAGATTCCTGAAAGCACTTTGGGAAGCTGGACAATGCTGCATCACACCAATGGAGTGGGACAATTATCACATCTCTCCTGCAGGCTCCCCTCCCTTTTCTTTTTATCTCTTTTCATTTTGTCAGGTAATGGATCTGCGCTCTCAGCCTTGAGAGGAGTCTCTGTGTAACAGCATCCAAAGATTAAATCAGATCTAAGCACTTTTACTTCATTTTTTGTAAGGAAACGTTCATCAGATGAACATGTGTCTGTTATTCTTTCACCCTCAATAACAGTTCTCTGCAGAGAGATGTAATCTCTCGCAGGTTGCTTGTCCAACCTCCCTGGCAGGTCGGTTCATTTGTTGCATGGCCGTGAGAGGCTCTTTGATAGAAGCTGTATTGCAGGCACATCTTCCACCTAGATGTGGTGCTAGAAGTGGATGTGCTGTAACTGTTTCCCCCAGGGGGGTGGATATTTAACAAGGAGAAGCAGTTATGAAATGGATTGACATGACCAAATGCTTAGTAAAATAAACTCCCAGCTAACTGTTTTGCCATTGATTCGGTATAAATAGCCTCCAGCACTGAATTGCAATGAAAGGAGCCCATGTGATGATAAATGATGTTTCCTTGTTAGGCAACATGAAAGGCATTTAAACAAACTTGGCCTGCTTTTATGCAGTCCTAGCCACTGGCAGCTTTTATAGGGTGAAGCTGATCTGTGTGCTGAGCGAGACTTGCAACAGTCCCAGCAATGTCTGAGACAAGCAGCACATTCTTGGAAGGCCTCGTTACGAACAGCAGATCAAATTCAGAAGTTTTTCATCTCATAAAGAGCTCCCAGTGAAGTGCCCATGGTCTGAGGTGCTGTATGCATAGCAGAAGGCTTGAATTCGAGTCTGGCTTCCAGTTGTTCACATGGGGTTGCTGGATGACAGATTGGTGTCATTTTGAGCCAGTGACAGTTACTACCCATCCTAATTATTATTAGCCAAAATCTCTGCCAACAGAGGGAATTTTGTCATGCTACTGTGTGCAAATAGAGTGATGCAAGCACTTGGAGCTGATGTGTTGCAAAACAGGTGGGACAAAGAGGAGGAAAATGAAAGGAAAGGAAGCCATGGCATGGCCCCAGTGTGTTAGTGTGTTTTATGGGATAGTCGTGGTGGTGATATGGGGAAGGGACTGAGACTAAGTGAAAGGAGAGGGGATACTGGAAGGGACAGAAGGTAAGGATGAAGGTCACAGCCTGCTTCAGGCATCCCTCTGCTCCAACATGTCATCTTCCATGGGCTGCAGGTGGTTGTCTGTTCCACATGGACCTCCATGGGCTGCAGGTGGGTATCTAATCCACCATGGTCTGCACCAGAGGCTGCAGTGGAATCTCTGCTCTGGTGCCTGGAGCACCTCTTCCTTCCTTCCTCACTGGCCTTGGGGTCTTCAGGGCTGTTGCTCTCACATATTCTCGCTCCTCTCCCCAGCTACAGTTGCTTTTGTGCATCAGCTGTTCCCCTTCTTAACTATGTTACCCTAGAGGGTCTCCCACCATCACTGCTGGGCTCAGCTTTGGCCAGTGGTGGGTTTGTCTTGGAGCTGCTGGTGTTTGCTCTATCAAACATGTGGGAAGCTTCTAGCAGCTTCTCACAGAAACCACCCCTGTAGCATTCCCCACTACCAAACCCCAATGCAGATGGTCAGGGCAGCTCCATTTTGAATCTGAATGTCTTTGTGTTCATCAGTGTATCCTGCGCTTCCAGTGAAAATCAAACCATGCTAAACTTACGCTTCCCAGTCACACAGTGCTGCACTTCCATGTTTCATGTTGGCTCTTGACTCTTTCAGACATCCTTCAGCCGTGGCTTTACTAAGAACATGAAGCTGGAGGCGGTGAACCCCAGGAACCCTGCAGAGATATGTGTTGCTTCTGTCACCTCAGTTAAAGGACGGTTAATGTGGCTTCACCTTGAAGGTATGTGCTGTAAAGGCTTCTTGTGTCACTCCCGCGCTCTCTTAATTTCGTCCTTGATCCTCTGCACAAAACTGCTTTCTCCATCCTTTCCATTATATACACGTTGACCAATAATACGGTATAAAGAATTATCTTTCCCTAAGGGAGACACAAAGATCTTCCATGCCCCCATCAATGCGGACTCTGTCAGTGTGATCTCTGTTGATGATAGAAACCTCCTCTCTGCCAACATGATAGAACTGCATCCTGGGAATGGATGTTTGCCTCACTTGTGTGGCTGAGACTTCCACTGTTATTCCCAATGTGCTCTCATGGGATCACCTGACCCCTGTAATTCCTTCCTTTTCTCTCTCCTTCCCTCCCTAGAGAAAAGGTCTCTAGTCAGAAACCCTTAAAGTTAGTAAAAACGTTGTCACATAACCCAAAGTACCTCATTTGTGCCAGCAGCTTGTTCTGTATGTAAAAAAGGTAGATGTTCAGTGGTGTTTAGCGCTATGAAGTAGCTTTATATGGTAGACAAGGCTTCCTGACACCTCCATGATAAATCCCATTTTCAGATTTACAACTCGGTGCCTACCAAAGGAGAAATTCCTCCTGACCTAAAGATTGGCAGGCCAAATCATTCATGCCTCTTGTGTCTTTGCTGCTGAGCCTCATGGTTTGGACTGGCTGAGAGGTGGTAACAGCAGAGCTGCAGACATGTGCCTGAATGCAGAAGAGGTGGTTTGGGATGTAGGAGAGCTGGGTTGTCTTCCTTCTCCATCCCTGACATAGAGCTGTCACCCTGGGCAGTTTGTCTCCTTCGTGGTTATCTCCAGTGTGAAGAGCAGCTACAGCTTTGCATCTTTGCTTTTAGCAGAGCTGTGTGCAATAGCAGGTTTTGTCTTTTTCATCAGAGATAACTGGTTGCCTTCTGACTCGAGGTAGAAAAAGCTTACTGCAGATTCAGTTCTTAGTAAGGATATTGTTGAATATCTGATCAAGGAATCAGACCCATTTTGGCAACTTCCCTTCTTAAATGGCCAGGTGCCTTCACTTTTATATACAGATTTTGTGGGGTTTTGAATCCTTCTTCCTTCTGGCCCCCAAGCTGTAATGCTTTCAAAGAGAATTGGTGTTCATTAAACTTTTGCCTGTTATAGTAATAGGAAGTGCTGTTTCTTAGGTCTTTAAATCAACTAGTCCTCCAAGACCCTGGATAGAAGCAGGAAGAGGGCCTCACGCTCTGACCTTGCTCCCCTCCCTCATCTTTTTCTCCCTGTCTTTTATACTTCTAATTTGTTAAAGGGTGACTTTACAACTTGTCATAAAAATAGCTGTGGGCATCTCCTTGTCTTTTGAGTCCTGATACATAGATGCTTTACGCTCTTGTTTTGTATCTCGATGCCAGGAATAGAACTGTAGTAAAAGGGGAAGATGCAAAAGACTGCAAAAAGTAAAGAGGAATCTTTGCTGCTGGTGAAATGTATGACTTCAGTATGCATAGTGTTATGCTAAAGCCAGGCATTAAAAAAAACCCAAACCCTGCTTGCAGAGTTGTAAAATAAATGTGGCTTGAACTGTGTGTGGCATGGGTTTTTTTTTACTCCATTAATACGCTATTGTTTCTAACTGATTATTTATACTCTGGTAGCAGCAAGACTCCCCAGCTACCATAGGAGCCCATCGCTGAAGGCCTCGGGTCCCACCATTTATCATGGGAGCATCTGAAGCTTTCATTGTTGCCCTGTTTAACAGCCCAAACTGCAGCCGTAAACCAGTACGCAGTAGTTAAGCAGCATCGAGTTGGACACGAGGGAACATTCCTTAATAAATCATGCTTTGTACAGTAGCAAAACTCTGTAAACTTCAGAGTGAGCATTTAATGAGCAGCAGTTGAGTTACCCCACGCTGGAAAAGAAGCATAGGGCTGATCCGATGCTGTGCGCATCCCATCACTTTCTGCTGCTTTATTACTGATCATCTGCATTGTTAATTTTTACTGGTTCATTTTAGATTTTAAAGCTGAAGCTTTCTGGTGTGAATTTATACAAGTAATAATGTTCACTCTCTGCAGAGCCAAGGAATTTGAGGAAAACCCTTTTGTTAATCACTTCTCCAGCGAGGTTTTCCATAATTTTCCCTTTGAGAGTTGCTGCTCTATTCTGCCCATCCTGTAAGATTCATAGCAGCATGGAATTTTTCTTCCCTCTGTTCTCAGTCTCCCTGTTCTCTTCTATTTAACCTCTCAAGCCTTATGGATATTTATTAGTCTGAGAAGATGGAAGCATAAAAAGCAGAATTTGAAACTAATGAGTCTCAAACAAGCTGTTTTCCACTTATATGAGTGAGGCCAAACAAAGCAGTAAGATGTTGGGAGTGGAAGGAAGGGTTATCACTTGCCAGGGGGAAGAAGCAGTGCCAAGGAGGACAGAGAAGCTTTGAGGATGTCATACAAGAGGAATAGTGGTGTTACAGCTGAAGAGACATTATGGTGCTTCCTTGCTCATCAGGGTGGCTGCAGTTGTAAACTTCAACACCAGAATGTTCGTGTCACATCCATAGTGGCTTGCAAGCAGAAAAGTGCATTCAGTCTCTTTATTTGGTCAGAATAACACCACAGAACAGTTACAGTAATGAAAAGAGTGGATTTTCCTTGATCTGGTGAAATCTCAGTGGGGAATGTGTTGATCTCTTGCTGTTTAGGGCTTGATCCATGCCTTGCTCACTTGATGCATGTCTTGCTACTGACTTCAGTAGCTCTCACATCAGTTCCTTGGCTGGATTTGTGGTGTTAGGCGAAAATATTTTGCCCATTGGAGGGTGCAGCTTTCATCAGGTTCAAACTGAGCAGACATCTCTTGGAGGGAAATGGTTTTGCAGAGCATGCCAGCTGTTGAGACCTTGCATTGGTTGTGTTCTGTATCTTGTGCCTTCATCCCATCCTTTTCCCTTCCCCATATTCCAGTGGAATAGAAACTCTTTCTTCAGTGTATAATGTGTAGTGTAACCATGGTGCAGGGCTCAGAAAAATACCATGAAGACACCCATGAATCTATGCAGACATATGATTTCTTTTTTTTAATTACTTCCTCCAGCACTGTGAGCACCAGCACCTATTTTCCTCCTTCCTTTGGGTTTTCATGCAGCCACTCTCAAAGTGCACCAAGTTTATTACTAGAGAAAAGATTGATCCAAATGCTGCATCTTGGTCTCAACAGCATTCCCCTCACAAAGTTCAATTACTGTTTCAATTACACTGCAAGCCCTTGGTGAACATTCATTAGTGGGGAGCTCCTGGTAGCTATCTAGCTGTGCACAGTCAAACACTGCTGCCTGAAGCAGGAGGCAAAGATGCTGTAACAGATGCGAAGGCAAGAATGCTGTAGGGGAAGCTGCTGATCCTTCGGTCTCTTTTTATTAGGAGATCATCTCACACTGATGCTGGAGCTGTAGGTCCTAGGGTGGGAATGGCAGAGGGGGGTGAAGTTGCTGGCCAGGCTGTGCCAGTGCAAGAGGACTTGAATTGGAGTAATTAAATGGTGTCTTGGCTCAGGAGCCAGAGTTGCTTTCAGAATAACTCAAAGCCAGCAGGAGTATTTCCATTTGCTGCAATGGGCTTTTGAGTATGACCCACATAAACCAAGACAGGAGAATGTCTTCTAAAGGAGACATAATGACCAAGCTGTATTTGCTTTAAGCAGAGATTTTCAGTGGGATTTTGGATTTAGTATTATGGCAAAAAGATCTTAGTGCATGTGTCCCACTTGGGACTTTTATATTGCCTCTCCACTGTTGAGTGATCAGTTCATGTTTCATGTGCAGTGAGGAGCCCTAGGAGAATTCATGGCACTTCTAGGCAGAAGAATGGCCATCTCCCACCCTTAAAAACAGTGACTTAAGGGCAGAACCACACAAAAATGCTTCAGGGGAGGGGCACTGGGGCATAAAGGCCTATCATCACATTGTCTTATGTACATCTTTAAGAGCAAGCACCCAACAACTTTGGCTAATTTAACTTGTGAACTCTACAACAACCCCAAGGATCTATCAGCCCGTCTTGCTGGGGAAAATCACACGTTTTACCTCATTGGCTTTTGGCTGCTTTGCTGCATACCCTTAGAGTGCTCTTCATGGGACTTTTCTCTGGAATCACATTGCACTGTAAATGCAGCAGCCTTGTCATTGCTGTCTCTGCAGAATTAAAGATGAAATGGAGCCTGATTTTGATGCAGGGATGCAGATTTATTTTCACGTGTTCCATCATTTACTTCGCTTGTTTCATGATGAATGCTCCAATGGCTCTGAGCTTGGTATTCCATGTCTAAGTTCCATTATAAATCTGTGTTTATAGGTTTACAGATGCCCTCTCCAGAGTACATAGTTGATGTAGAGTCTATGGACATTTTCCCCGTTGGCTGGTGTGAGGCGAATGCTTATAACCTAACTCCACCACACAAAGCTGTTTGTAAGTACATGGAAACCTCAAGCAGCATAGGTATTACATCAACATATATATCAGGGAGTTTGTCTTATGTCTGTAATCCCATTCTCAGAACTACCCACCTAACAAGCATACTAGTAACCAGGCTGTAAGTGTACTGTAAGTAAAGAGCAATAAATCTAATTAGTGACCAGACTGCAGCACTGGTATTATGTGATTTGTACTTGTCTGTGCGATCAGTTCCTCTAAAAAATGGGGTTGTTTGCACCAGGAAAGGCTGTTACGTGGTTTGAGATTGCACTGTTATGTGAATTGAGATTGCGGGTTGTGGGTTTGTGATGGATTTGTCAGAGTGAAACCAGGTTTTGTTGTGCTGACCCAAGTTCGCTTGTGTAGCTGAGTGAATTAGGGACATAGAACCTCAAATTGGGAAAACCCCCATGAACTATAGGGTGGAGTGGACATAAAGAGACCATCCAGTTGCTTCGTCTCCAAAACGGGATCTGCTCCATCTAAATTGAGAGATTTTTGCTGACCTCCTGCAAGGGAGTTTCTGCTCCTGCTCAGGATATCTACCCAGTTATTTCAGTGCCCTTATCAGCTCAGAGATTTCCTTAGTATTCAATTTACATCTCTCTCAGCATAATTAAGCCTTGTAGTGTTTTGTCCTGCCTTCAGTGTGTATTAAGATGAATTTCTTCCCTTTCCATTTGCATTTGAAGGCTGTTCTTGTGCGCTCAGTAGCTTGGTGCTGTTCTGTTCCTCGCAGAAGTTATCCAACTCCAGTCTCAAGCCACCAGATGAAAAATTACCCTCACTGTTTATATTAATTAACATCTGAAAGGCAAATTTTAAAATGTGTCAACCCTTTTGAAGAGTTAAATATGCTTAAGTTAAAAATCAGCAGCCGCGGCCTAATTTGGGAGAATACTGCTATGGCAACATTATGCAGCCTTATCGCAATTTATAGCTAGGGATAAATGATGCTGGAGGTAATCATGCTTGTAAAATGTAATCTTACCCATATGTGTTTCTGTAGGAAAAGATATTTGTGTTTTTATCTTAATTTTTTTTTCTACACTGATCCCATAAAGCACAATATTAGCATTCCAGAGGAAGGATTAAATGTATTATTAGATCTTTAAAGTAGATTTTAATGATGTAGTGACTTAAAAAAATACCAAGAAAAGATGGCGATAGTAATTAAGTACCATTTCATTGTGTTACAAGTCATTTTATAGTCAGTGCATTAATACAACTTTTTATGTGTTATGGGTATACTTTATAGGACAGAAGGGTAAAAACGTGTGCTTTTTTTTCTTCCTTGCTTCATTTTTGCAGTGAGAAGGAAGAGAAGAATTGCAGTTGTGCAACCAGAAAAGCAGTAAGTTTTTGTTATTTAAGGTGATATTTCTACAGGGATGCGTCAGGTCTTCCAGGGGAGGTAATACATAGAGTGACTTTGGTAACTACTGCCCTGATACTGCAGCAGAATCGACAAGAGGATACTTTGAAATATTTGTGAGCATATTAGAAAGTCTTTATAATAGGTGTTTGTTACCAGTTGGAACTGCATAGCCAGTGTCTGATGGCCAGTAAGGGATGCTTATGGAAGATGGACATGTACCAGGAAGGCATTTCCCTGTCTAGCCCTTGCACTTGCTAGAAACAAGAATTTAAGGGAATTAAGTGTGAATATTTGGGCTAAAGCTTACAGACCAGAGTATGCCTTTGGAGGAGGTGTGGATCTGGCTCTTTCTTTTGCAGTATGCAGGCTCTGGGCTATGATAAAACATGTGGAAATGAGGTTGTATTTGTGGTATCTCCATTCCTCAGCCCAGGCAGGTGCTGGTGCATCTCTGTCCAGCCTTGAATACTGGTTCTGCCCCTTTGTCTTGTCTGCTACTTATTAAATACACCAAACTGCTGTTTGACAGGTTACCATCCACAGTGCCTGTTGAGAAAATACCTCATGACCTCTGCCCGGTTCCCCAGCCAGACACCACAGGTAAGGCTGCTCAGCACTGGCAAGATCTTTATTTCAAGGACCTATTGCTTCTATGGGGGGCGGATGACCCCAAAAAGGGAGTGACTGTGTCATATGGGTTTGGAGATGGAACCACATCCTCAGGGGTGTAGGAGTGGTGTGGACCCACCAACATTACAAGGAGTCTCTGACGTACAGCATGTGAGGGTGTTGTCCTCCACATGTGAATGCTGTGTCTTGCTGGGGCTGAGTTCCCCTGCAGCTTACCCATTTCACCTAATGATGTTAAGGCCAGGCTAATGAAGCCCTGGTGGAGATGGATGTGTTTTTTTAATTGGCATCAATGAAAATGCTTACACCAGGACTTAATGGGTCCCTGTGTTAGCATCAAGACACTGTGGCATGGCTGGTCCTTTTGCTAAAGGCAGATTTCTCTCCCTTTTAGCAATGGCAGGAGGCTCTGGGAGTGCAGTGTTCATCTATTTAATTGCTTAGACTCATCAGGACTTAACTCACTTTATTCCAGCAGACTGCAGGACACACATTGACATCTGAGCCAACATCCCAGGGCCCCATTACAACCAAATGGGGAGAAAGGGGCTCTTTTTGGGTATGATAACCAAAAAGTGGATAACCACTTGGATGGTAGATGAACTGCATTGAGATGTACCCACTTCCCTCCATGGGCTATAAAGGAGCCCAGAGTAATTAGCCCAAACAAAGAAAACTGTTCTGTAGACCTCATGTAGGGTCACGGAAGGGCACCACAGTGCTCACTGTGTTGGACAGTAGCTGAAGAGGGGTTTGTAGAACTCTCCACTTGAATTTTCTCCCTGAGTTGATTCTATATCTGTGAGAAGAAGTTAATACATTCCCTTTCTGGCAAATTGCAACTGAGTCCCTCACACCCATCTGCAGCGTGAGTTATGAAAGAGCCTCGGGTCATGTTATGAATAAATCCTTTCCTGAGTCTCCTTTCAGTAGGGTGTGCAGCCAAATCGTTTGCTATTAAAAGCACTTGACTTTGCTGTGTTGGATGGATTCAAGGAGCAGAGGCTTCTCTACCTTCTATCTCAAGGAAGACATTTTGTGCCTCCTTTACTCTTCTTTCCTCCTTGCCACATCTAGGAGGAAGAAGAAGGGCCCTTGATATATTGTACAGAAGTGCTACATGCACATCAATGCTACTTTCTCCTTGCAGGCACCATCAATGGGAGATACTGCTGCCCCCAGCTCTACATCAACCACCGCTGCTTCTCAGGTCCATATTTAAACAAAGGCAGAATAGCAGAGCTACCTCAGTCTGTCGGGCCTGGCAAGTGTGTGCTGGTCCTCAAAGAGGTATGGCTCAGCTCTCTTTTGGGGGGATTTCAGGGGGAAAGCATGGGTTGCCAGCCCCAGAATTTGAGAGCAATGCACCTAAAATTGTCCCAGAGCTTTGTAGTGGTTTCCATAACTCAAAACTGCAAGAGGGTCATACGTGCATTGTGACTTTTAATGGGAGAGGTGACATTTTTGAGACATGGGGAGTTCTGTTGGTTGGGAGCAAGTTTTGTCTAACTGTGTTCAAGAGAATTCATGTTCTGTTGGAGCTGTCCCTAAAGCTGACCTCTGTGGTTGTTGCCATCCATGATGCTGTTGGGCCAGCAGATCCAGTGTGGATGACACCTCTGTATATATGAAAGTGGTCTGGTGGGGCCCAAACCATTGAGATCAGGACAGAAAGCCAAGCAGAGGTGTGTGTGTTGTGATGAGTGGAAGCTGTGGTGTGCCCAGCTTTTGCTCAATATGGATAGGTTAATTCCACGCAGCAGGGATGGCAGAGTACCACCATCTCTTCTCTTCCTCCTGACCCAATCAGTGCTTGCTTTGGGATGAAGCCAGAGTGTTGAGCACTTGCTGTGGCCTTAGAATAAAGCTAACCTCTTTGAAAAAATGAATAAATGTTTTCCACAAAGATTACAGTTCCTGTACAAATGAAAGCCAAGGTGACTGCAGGTGGCAGAGGACAGCAGTGTGGTACTGTTGAATAAGCAGGGTGCCGTTGGTGCCTTGGACACCATTGCAGTTTGACTTGGGTCTTCTAGAAATGTAGAACTTTCAACTTCCAGGTCTGTACCTATATGAACTACACTTGATGTGCATGCAGGAGCATAGTTGAGCTCCATCTACCCTTGGTGGAAAAGCACAGGAATTTCTAGGTGTCTATTTGAGGGTGGTGAGGCCCTGGAAGAAGTTGCCCAGAGAAGCTGTGGCTGCCCCATCCCTGGCAGTGTTCAAGGCCAGGTTGGACACAGGGGCTTGGAGCAACCTGCTGTAGTGGAAGGTGTCCCTGCCTGTGGCAGGTTTGGAACTGAATGAGCTTTAAGGTCCTTCCAACCCAAAACATTCTGTGATTTTTACGAATCTTATGTATTTGCAAGACCCTCAGTGCCCAGCTCTGGATGTCCTCAGTTGTCTGAAAGGAGACAAATCCCAGCCCTTAACAGAAACACCTGAAAGCTGAGATTCCTCCCAAATCACTCCCCACTTTGGAAAACGCCTCTGTACTGTAGTGACGCCTGTGTCCCCATTCCCTTCTCATCACCTGCATGCACTGCTTTATACAACAGCACTGCTGGCTGTCTCACATAGTTGAAAGCTGGGCCATGGAGAGAGCCTAATCCAGCTGCTTGTGCAGGTGGGACACCTGGGTCTCAAAGAAACAAGTCAAAAATAGCCCTCAGCAGAAAGCAGGATAAAATGATTGCAGAACAGAAGTTGATAGCTGCCAAATTTGAAAGCAAGTCCATAGCAGCTTGCTGATGGGGAGCATTAGCAATCTGCTGCTCCTTGAAAAACAGGCAATGAAGAAGCAACATGGGGGAAACAGGAGGCTTGCACAGTCAATACTTATGCTAATGTTTCTTCCTCCTTTCTTCCTGGAATTTGGGTTGTGAAAACATAAGCAGTGCCAGGTTCTCCCCTAGAATCTTAGTGCTGTGCTTCGTAGGATAGCACCGACTTCTCCAGATTCCTTAAGAATGGGAACAACTGTGGAAACCAGTCTGAGTTTCCTGCAGAAATCCTATTTTCTCATGCTGTGCCTCCTTACAGAATTGCTTACTGAAGGAGCAATAGTGTCAACGCGACATGGGCATCTTGCTTTTGGAGACGTGAATGACTTCCCAAGGAGCAGGACAATGGCAGTGGCCCAGCATTGGTCAGTGCTGTTTTAAAGATGAATTCAAGCTCATCCTGGCCATGGGGACCAAGTCCAAGTTCTAAAAAGGGTGAAGAGAAGACATTCGGGATGTTGCTGTAGGGAAGATACATGTGGTTTCTATCTGCTACTGCCAAAATGAGAGGTGTCAGCAGCTCAGAGAGGATAAGGGTACCTAGCATGTGAAAGAGGCAAGAAGAGGCAGAGAAGACATCCCTACACTGAGATGGTGATCTTTAGCATCTGCCAGAGCACCCAAAAGTACTGCAAAGGTGTGTGGTGAGAATAGTGCAGGAGATATCTCCTCCAGCCCAAGACCACAGCCACAAGGCTTTACATGGCTGAAGGGCTCACAAGGGTCGCCATCCCTCCAAATGAGTCTTGGTGCTGAGCTTGATGCCTTTGTCTTGCTTTACACCCACTGTTGATGTGGCCCCAGGAATGCAAATGCATTATAATGATCGCTCTCTCACTGTATAGGAGAATTGCAGGTCATTGTAAATCATACATCAGCATAACTTTTATGGAATAGATAAATTATACATGGGCTTTCCCTTGACAACACACAGGAGAGGGTTAGAAAGACAAAACAACTATGAAGGAAGAGTGGAGTCAATAGTATTCAGTGAGAGCTTTTTAAATCACCCGGTTTTAAATCACCCTTTCAAATTATGGTCTCCAGCCATAACTCACTGCCTTTAGAGATGCTCTAGTTAAAAATCTCTGCCAGTCAGCAGCCAGTTCACAGTGAGCAGCAATCTCTGTGATGGAGATGCTGCTGTGTTTGGCTCTTATGGAAGCCCCAGACTAAAACCAGCTGGAACAACCAACTCCTGCCCCATTCCCCAGCCTGGATTACCTAAAACAAGAGGATATGTCATCTCCCCACTAGCACCAGGTGATGGGAGACCTTGCTCCTGTCTAGGTTGAGGGGGTCTGGGTGCATCCTCTGCCTTCCTCCACACTCAACCATGGGGGTTGTATCAAAAAGTGCAGTGCAACTGTGGTTCATGATGCTCCTCAGCCCTCTTTTCCCCCAACGTCTTGTCCTTCCTTACCTCCATCATTGATGCAGTGAAGCATCATTCTGGATCCAGCTCCTCATAAACTGATGCTACTCACCAGCATGCTAATAGTGAGATAGCTGTGGATCAGTACTGCTTGCTTCTGAAGATACCATTGTAGTGTGGAGTAGGAGCACCACCTTCCATTTGAGTAGTGTGGGCTGTTCTCACTTGGGGTATCGGGAGGGAGACTGCACAGATAGGTTTGCTTTTGTGCAGCACCTCCTTTCCAACTGAACAGGCACTTGAGTTCTGCATTGTTACTGCATCCCCCTGATTTCTGCCCCATTGCTTTGTCTGAGTGTTGGATTCAGAGGTTATGAGCTCTGCAGGAGGAAGCTGCTAGGGTACCTTCAGGAATAGCAGCCCTTGAGCAAGATTCCAAGCAAAATCTTGAGAGCAATTGCAACTTATTTAGAAGTATGATCAAGAATACTTCTTAGTTCTGTGTGTTTGTATCCTTGCATCCATGCCAAGCTTTAGGCAAGTGACAACTCTTCCGCTATCTAGTGCCAAACTTCTTTTTAAAGCCTAGCTGTTCATTATTCCTGGTGCCAACCCAAGTTTCTGCTGGGACCAGTGGCTTATTATGGTTTCTTTCACCCCAAGAGGCAAGTGAGATGGTAATGCCTCTTGTTTAACATCAGCTACAAAGCTTATCTCATTCCTGAGATACTTGTTTGGAACAAAAGTTGAAACTTGCATCCAGATAGAGTGGAGACATCAACTATTGCCATCCAACAGCTGCATCTAGGCTGAAAAATAGTGACCCTGTAGTAGTTATGTAAGTAATGCTAGCTTTAAGTTGAATTAAAATGAACAGATTGTCAGCTTTAGATTTAGTTCTTTGGTCAGAATATCTACAAAGTACTTGTGAGCAGTTCTTCAGTCTATGCCAACAACTTACCACGGCAACATTGTAAAACAAAATGAGATGTCTTTTTGAGACTTCGGATGATTTATAACCCACTAGATCTTGGGGAAATGTGCTGTCAAGATTAATTAGCCTCATTGCTTATTGCTCTTACTATTTTTAAGGCACTTTTCTCTTTCTCTTTTTAAAGAGAAAATGGACTTAGAGGTAATGTGACTGCCCAGCTGATGCAAAGAGGAGAAATCAGCCAGCATTTGTCAAGGAGCTATTGCAATCGGCAGCTGGAATTTTTTGGGGCACAGCAGGACTTCTTCGGAGAAATTGGCATAATTAAATCATGGTGCTCAGAAAATTAAGTAGCTTGCATGAAGCTTTAGGTGTCTGAGCTGGGCTGATCATTAGTGATCAGATATGGTGTTGGAATGGCAGAAACCTCTACTGTCTGGAGAGATAAACTGCATTTCAGCAAGAGGGCTCATTAAAATCCTCCCCTAGACTGCTCTGTGGACTTCAGCTCATCTGTAGTAGTTCCTCCAACTTACATCTGGACATATGTGTTTTTGAAGTGCCGTGGACTGTCATAAGCACGTCAAGAGTTAAGCGCTACAACCTTGACTGTGATAAAAGCTCACTTTTAGATCGTGAATCATTTAATGCAAGAATCCCAAAGAACTCTTTTCCCTTCTCTTTCTGTCCCACAGACGTGTCATTATTCCAAGTAAAATAATTTGTTTACTCTCCTGCCTGAGGCTAGTTAGGGTTTCTCCTGATAGGTAGGAAATGTGGGCTCATATCTCAGATATAGGAGGAAAATTGAGTTTCTCCTCATGAAGATACTGATCATTGGGCTCGTGAACAGGAGGAGATACAAGGAAGTAGTTCTTTACTGTGAGGGTGGTGAGGCACTGGCACAGGTTACCCAAAGAAGTGGTAAATGCTCCATCCCTGGCAGTGTTCAAGGCCAGGCTGGACAGGGCTTTGGGTGACATAGTCTAATGTGAGGTGTCCCTGCCCGTGGCAGGGGGTTGGAACTGGATGATCTTAAGGTCTTTTCTAACCCAAACCATTCTGCAATTCTATGTTAGTGTTTTGAACTGTGTATTCTCAGTTATACCTCCTGAAAAAGCTTCATCCAAGGTTGGGACTATTAATGAAGAAGGGTGGAGGGATGGGAAATGTGTGAATACCAAGAAGCTATGATGAGAAGAAAGGTGATGAACTGCCCAGTGGATCAGGCACATTTAGACATGCTCAGAAAAGGGCATTTGTGAATCTGTGATATGGAAAACTTCATAGTTAAGATGTCAGGGGGCCTGTATGGTTGGGTGGAGGCTTGTAGTGGTGCTGTGTGATCATGCTTATGACTCCAACCTATGAACTCAGCAGCATCAAAATAAAACTTCACAGATGCATAACAGCAAAGACTGGTGTCATCTAATCCACCCCCCTGCTCCAGGGCACTGCTGGATGCACCCAAACCACTCTTGATTGAGAGGGATGAAATAAACTGCCAAAATCTCAGGCTGGTCACACTCCAGATGAAAGGAACTCTGTGAGTCAGATCATAATATGACCAGCCTGATCTGGTGAAGTAACTTCCCATCTCCAGAGGAAGTTGGAAACTAGTCTAGGTTTCTTCACTGGTTTTGCTTTAATCAAGGTAATTTTCCCACAAGAACCAGTGTTCTTTTTTCTCCCTAGTGTTTAATAGTGTGAAATATAAAGTGATAATCTTTAAAGGCAACAGTGTTAAGATGTTGATGGACTTCTGCTGTGGGTTAAAATGCCAAGTCCAATGACTTGTTTGAGATGCAAGAAGAGTAAAAACCAGAGGTTTTAAAAAAAGTTAATTTATTTTCCCTAAAAGGGAAATGTTTATTCTTACAAAACACTCTTTAAAACTTGGATTCGAAGTTTACAGAGTCCTGCTGATGGCAAGCCAGCTTGGAGAAAAGTCCTAGTATTGTTAGTGTCCAGGCCTGGAGTTGATTAGGTGTCTGGGATAACGTCCAGACGTGGTCACGCAGTTATTTAAAGGGTTGGGTTTTATTTTCTTGCTCATTTCCCAACTGTTCTGACGACTACAAACGCCATCACCCTGATAAAGGAGCAGGACAGCACTGTTGTTGGGAAACAAACAGCTTTCCCACCAGCAAGTAGGGCCGTTTTAGAAGCATACTTAAGGAGACCTTTCCCAACAAGCTCCTACATAGGCATTAAATAACTCCCTGGATTTGCTGGTCAAGAGGGGAACACATCTGATAAGTTGTGAATGCATGTGGGAGCTACCCAGGCACTTGTTGTGTTTTGAAAACCCACCTTTGGCTTCCTTACATTGAGTCTCAGGGTCTCTGTGTCAGAAGCCAGTGTCCATCAGTTTGTATGGTGAGAGGCAGGCAAGAAAATATGCAGATGAGCAACTGGATGGGCTCACTCAGCTTTCTTTTGTTCTCTTGGGAATCTGTATGACTTAGTAACTAGTTGTGTGAGGAGATGGGAACCAGCTGGAAAGCTGTGGGTAAATCTGTGTGGTAGGTTCCCCATATGTGAGACAGGGAGTGTGCTCCTGCCATTCCTCTTACAATGCTCCGAGATGTACAGATGATCAGAGCTGCATAAGACATTGGTGCTATTATTGGCCGTTGCTTTAGGTGTCTCTAATTGTACTTTTTTGAAGCATGGTTTGAGTAATGTTTTCAAGGGCCCAATGATAAGTCAAAATTTGCTTCTAATAAATAACCTAGCTAAACAACTCAAGCCACTGCTGTTTTCCGTGGTACTGTGCAGCATTACGTGAAGCCCTTGCCTGAAAATTATTAATTATCCAAGGTTTTCAGAATGTGAGTGAATCCTCAGGTTGCTGGATTTAAAAACAGAACAAAAACCCCAAAACCAACAACTCAGGAAAGAAAAAGCATTAAAAAAACCCAAACCTAAAACTCCCCCAAAACCCCAACAACAAGCAGAACCCACTCAAAGCACATTGCATTTTGCAGTATGACCTAGTTAGGTTTTAATCTCTGATGAACCATATTCATGGGTGCTGGGGAAACTGAATACTCATCATGCTGGAATCATTTGCAGGCCCACAGAGAATTAAGAACAGGCGTTAGGTAAAGAGCTAAATTATGTCAAAACCAATTCAGACTCACTGTGGGGTCATTCATGTGCATACAATGCAGAGTGTTCAAACACATGGTCTGGTGCTGTTAAGAGATTTGTTTTTCTTGTATTTATCTCCGTAGGCCAAGTGTAGACTGCTAAAGCTTGGATTCCCTTAGCCAACAGCAGGAATTGGTTTTATTCTCAGAGTCTTTGGATTAAATGGATTGGCACATGTGTTTTGTTGTAAAGAGTGGACCCACACTGGGTTTCAGGCACACCTCCTGCAAACTCTTTTTGTGCAGACTTCATTAATATTCTGCTAATACAGTCAAGGCACGCAGCACTCAGACACTTAAGACACATATTGCTGGCCTCAAGTATGTGAATTCCCCTTTTGGCGTTCTGTGTGTAATGGTACACGACTGTAGCTGGTTGAGCCATCAGAAGTATTTTCATTTTCTATTAAATTGAGCAACTGTGGACACAGTGAATGGAATCTCCTTTGAGTGTGAGGGTCTGTCTCAAAGAAAAATTGATTAACGTGAGACTTTGGGAGTTAGATAGCAGCATTTAATACAGTCACCATACCAGGCCAATGTGTCAACTACAGTAGGCTTGGTACATTCATCGAATCTGGGACCTCCTGTAATTGCATCTGAAACTTACCCTGTGCAGCCTTGGACCAAAATAGGCACCTGTAAACTGCTCCTGCCTATGCAGCACCTGGTTTCCTATTCACTGTGGTCAGGGACTACTTTTAAACCCATCAGCGTTGTCTGTTTTGTCTCTTTAATAGGTTCTCAGCATGGTGATCAATGCAGCTTACAAGCCAGGGAGTGTTTTACGAGAACTGCAGCTAGTGGAAGACCCTCAGTGGAATTTCCAAGAGGAAACACTTAAAGCAAAGTAAGTCTTCAGTGTGTGCTCTTTTATTTGGGAGAGAAAGAGATTTTTTTTTTTTCCTATTGTCAGATTTCTACTTTTCTAATTATCATTTTGCTTCATTGAATTATTTGGCTCATTCTCTAGCAACTTCAATGAAATACTCACCTGAATGGTTCATTTCTCTTGTCTTTCTCCAAGCAGCCATCCAGATTTTGATGGAAAATGTCATTTTCCTTCAGTGGAGTCCTGAATTTTATAAGCTGTTCCTATAAGCTTGGCTACTATTGAATTAACTCAATTCCTGGCTTTCTAAATGTAGGAGTATTACTTCTTTTCATAAAGAACGTGTCATTTTAATGCACAGAAACCTGGTGAGAACAAAAATAAGTGCAAACAAAACAGCAAGGGCATGTTTTTGAGCAGGAGAGTGTTAGGACAAAATAAGAAGAGATCTGAGTTTCATGTCAAAATCTGGGGCCTTTCCAGAATATATGCTTCAATTCTCATCTAAACAGCACCTTAAAAACCTGTGTATCCATAAAATACTCAATTTCCCCTTCCAACTTTAAAATCTCCCCCTTTATGTCTTCTTTATGTAATGGGCACTACACTTAGGATGTATTTCAACAGCCATTGTCTCTCTGAAAGAGGGGAGTCTCACCTAAGCACTCTCAAAAGTCCCTCCAAAGAGCAATTCTTCCCACTTCCGAGATGGATGTCAACAAACAGTTCTTTGAAGACAGCTATCTTCTTTGACTGACTTGGTCACATTGACTTTCTGAGTACTGTAGTTAAATGCAGTGAATCTCACCCTTTGTACTGAACTCTGATACTCCTTTTCAAAGAAAAGCAATTTTCTCTTAGTTATTGGAAATGATTGGCTGTCAAATATGGCACTGTTGATTGCTATTGTACGTGCTCTTGGCCATGCAGATATTGCAGAAGGTTCATGTGTGCTGTGGTTGAGGGAGAGAATTGAGAACCTTTTGTTCTGTGTACTCGAAACTGCTTTTCTACAGGAGGATTGCAAATAGAAATGAAAAGCTGCTAGAAAATCCTGGTTTTAATTTGCTGCTTTCACCCATGTGGAGAGTCCTGGTTTTGTGTTTGTCAACTGGAATTGTGCGGATGGAAACCTGAAAGTCATCCTTGCACATGCAGATTTTCATTCTAAAAATGAAACATTCATTTTTAAGGTGTCTGTGACACATTAAAAATCATAGTCTGTGACCTCATTTTCATTGATTCCACACCTTGTACTAGCAAACGTCAGATAATGCACTCCTACAGGTACTTAGCAGCTGTGAAACCAAGTTGTAGTGCCCCATCTTGATAGCCTATCTTGCAAAGAATTGAGCGTATGGGCAGTTTTTCTGTTAGCAGTATCCACAATAGGACTTTGTTGGGATTTCTCATTTGAGTGTGGGGATCTGCCTTGTACGAAAGCAGCAGTCTGATTCTTAAGGCTGCTTTAATCCTTGTTTCTAATGAAAACGTTTAACTGACCTTCGGGTGCAGGGGTGTCTTGTCCTTGATAGTCTGCTATGTCTACAACCCAATCTACTGCAATCCCAGGCAGCCTGTTGACTCTGGGTGTGCTTACGCAAGGAAGACCAACTTAGTTATGAGCACGTGCACTCCTAAAGACTGTCACTTATTTGTATCACATCGTTTCTTGCCCTCCCTCACTGTTTCTTGCTGTGCTAATCATACTAATGAGCACCTCCATCTCTGTTACTTCCTTCCAGGATGCTTCTTGTATCTGTTTCCTCCTCCCATCTATTTAACAGGGCAGCCAGCCTGCTGGGATATAACTTAGATCTATATAGCCTGCCAAGTGAAAGCATATTATTGCTTTCTAGCAAGGAGGTTTTGTGTTTTATGTTGTTCAGTCTCATGTTGTGTAGGTGTTGCTGTATGATGGCTGCCCCAGGAGGTAACAACCTCAGCTCTTTAGTGAATCAAGCAGGATCTTTCAACTTCATCAAGCAGCATCTTTCAACTTCATCAAACCATGGAATAAATCATCACAGGCTCAGAGCTGGGACAGAGCTTGGTGGTCATACCAGCTTGCCTATGGATAGTTTGAGCACTTTAAAGAGTGGGTAACAGAGGGTTGACATGCTCTAAGACTGTCTGACTACCCTCGGACTTTCTTCTTTTTTCCTTCCCGAGTTTGCTTGAGTTGCTTCATCAAGAAGCATATGAGAGGTTTAATTGCATTTAGTTGCACAGAAGCAGAAAAGAAAACATGGTCGTGAAATGAGATGCACAAATGACACCTGACACGTTACATCAGGTATGACAGTCAGTTGTGCTCCGGAATCTCAATCAGAGACCTGTAATGAGCAAACGCCTGTCTACACCGACTTGCAACTACACCATCTCCCAATGGTGTCTTGCTGCTAATGATGACAGCTCTACAGCCAGCTGGAGTGTCTGTGCTGTAATGTGACATGTCGTGTCGCCGCCTTCCTTCTGATGTAAACTGACAACTCTTTGGATCTTGACAATGTTGTTGTTTGTTTGCGGTGATGGCAGCAGGAGGGTAGAGCAAAAAGGAGAGGGAGGAGGATGGTGAAGAGAAGGCTGATTTTCCCATCAGCCCAAACGCCAAAGTATGCAGTGCCAGGAATGCATTACCTCCGTCCTAGGGCAACCTGCACTTAGTTTACTCTGCTCTCAGGAGTGACCAGCGTGGAACCAGTTATGCTAGCCTTGCAAAGAAGATAAACAATTTAGATTGTCTGAAGAGATTTTTCTTCAATGTGTGATGGCAGTCGCTTCCCATCAGTGCTGCTGGTGCTCTGTGAAAGTAGTCAAACCTGATTTATTGGTGATGATGAGTTAGAAATGTCGGGCCCGATCCTCTGAATTCTCATGAGAGTCAACCGCAGCTGTAGGCATTCAACCATTATAGTTTCGATGCTTTAAGTGCCTACATCTAGATTTTGCTTCCCAATTTTACATGAAGTGCCTGAGGGACTTTATTAAGGATTTTAGTTTCTAAGGGCTGTAAGTGGGCTATTTGAACTTACCTGTTTTTGCAGGACTTTGGACATGAACAGGACTGGTGTGTGCAGAGACTTACCTTCTGGGTCTTCTATAAAGCCCGTTTGATCAAATTAAGAAAGATGAGTATTCCTGCACTCCTTCATTAGGTGAAATCTTGAGAGTTGCCTAATTCTAAGTCAAGTATCTGAACTCTAGGACTGTTTACCACCCCATCACAGACACTATTGCTTATTTATGAGGCTGCATATCAAAGAAAGTCTGTTCACTGTGGATGCTTTAGAAGCCTTTCACTTATGATAGATGATGCTGAGGTGTTCAAAGTGTTCTTTGCTATCGGTGGTTGCTCTCAGGACTCCCAGGTCCCTGTTACTGTTTGAGGGAGTGAAGTGTTACCCACAGTAAATGGAAAAGAAACTACAAAGCAAACTGGATGCGCACAAGTGTGGAACCAGATGGGATGCAGCCAGCTCTGCTTGAGAGAACTGCCCAGTGTCATTGCAAGGCTGTCATGTTTGAAAGTTGTTGATAATCAGGGAAGTTTCCTGATGTCTGGAAAAAGGCAAAAATCACACCTCCATCTCAAGAAGGGCAAGAAGGAGAATTAAAGTTACTACAAGCTGTCAGCCTAATGTTCCTGGAAAGTTTATTAGGCAAATCCTCCTGGAAGACATTTCCAGGAACATGCAGGACCAATATACGAGTGGCAAGAATCAGCATGGATTTATGAAGGGCAAGTTGTGCCTGGTGTTAACTGTGATAACTGGTTTGGTGGTTGAAGGAGAAACCGTGGAAGTTATTTATGCTGACTTTGGCAAGGCTTTTGACAGAGTCTCCCGTAAGTCATTATAACCAAGCTGTGGATATGTGGATTGAACATATGTGGTGATGGAAAACTTGACTGGACAACTGAACCCAAATGATACGAAGTCCAGGTGGCAGCCAGATAAAAACGGTGCTCCTCCTGATCTGGTTTTTATTCCACATCAGCTCTGCCACGTACTTCTTGAGGCACTGCAGAGATGAAGTAGTTTGGACTGGTGGTCTTCTGTGCCAAATACTGGAGATAGAAGTCATTATGACCTTGTGGAATGACTTAAACCCTTTTTTTTTCCATAGTCAGCAGGAGACTTGTCCTTACAACCAGAACAATTCTAGGTCTCTTTCTGAGTCCTGTCTTCAAGAGTACAGAATGTCACTGGATGATTTGGAGGAAGATAATTTCTCATGTTTGGCAGACTTCAGGCTAATAAGACAAACCAGAAATTTCTTGCACAAGAATAGATAGAAGTTTTTGGTTCCCCAAAAGGAAATTCAGGCTTTTTAGCTACTGAGCTGAAACTAGTCTTAAAGATTATCAGAACTGTGGGCTGTATCCTTATGAGGAGACATTTAAAATGAGGGTAGTCTCAATGTTCTTGCTGTTTGAAGTGTCTTCAGCACAAGATTTTAGGCTGTCATCACACAATCCCTAAATAGAGCCTTCCTAGAAGGCATTTTGTTCTCACAGTCTCTTTTATTACCAAAGGGAGCTTCAACAGAAGAATGATATTGCCAGCTAAGTACTATTAGCTTAATATTGTTGCTCATGGATCAGCAATATTCTGAGGATGTTTCTCTTGGAAATAGTTTCAGCCATAAGGATTTCCTCAGTTTTGGGTATCTGAGGGGAAGGAAGTGGACAGGAAAGAAATATTTCTTTTGCTTCAGCTGGAAAATCTTTGTTAAAAGAACAGTGATTTCTAAGAAATCTGGAAATGTTATGCTGCCATGCTGTGAATGCTCACAAGTGGTTGGGAAGATAGAAAGCATCAATAGGAGTGTCAGTAATTGGTAATTCTTTGAGCGGTGCTAATGAAATAGGGTTTTCTGATTATATCCAAAGGAGCTCTTGCCACATGGCTGTCCTAGAACCCCTCAGATTACAGTTGGTGGTGTTTGTATTAAAAATCTTTAGTATGTGAGGAATATGGAAAATATTACTAGAACCTGGTTTATTGTTGAAAGAGGTGCTGCCAAGGCCAAAACCATGTGAAAAATATTACTGCAGCCAGTACTAACACCTTGGTTTATTGAGACTGATTGCTACAGTCATGTTGATTCCCATTTTGACATTCATTCTGTTAATTACAATGTGTGTTACATTCAAACCAGGCTGAAATCAGTCAGTTATTCATTTTTCTCGTTTCATCTTTTTCTTTCACCAGGAAGTTTAGTTCAGTGGGTCCTTTCTGGGCAGCCAACACAATAGGAAGCACACAGAAAAAGTCAGCCATCCTTGAATAATACCCATCAGGCAGCTTCTTAGCTTATAAGAAGGAAGATCAAGAGAAGAGCTGAATACAGCACTTTTGCAGGGAAACAAAACCAGATGCAGTCTTTTCATCCTGGTGGTGAAAGTCAGAACAAGGACAAATAAATAACTTAAATACAGACACATCCAGGCATAAAATGAGGCCCAGGCTCATGAGGTAGAGGTACAGGTGCCCCTGCTGCCAAGATTCTTCCAGTGTGGAGACCCTCAAGGGGAGGAAGTGATGCTTTAGTCCAACCAACGTGTTGTTGGGGTTCAGGTGAAGGTAAGACACTGAAACTGCAGCCTGTCACAGGAGTCAGACTTACTGACCTAATGATCTAGGCTGTCATTAAACTTAATGGCTCCTGTAGAAGTAATAAGGGCAGGAATCTCTTCAAACACACTGAAAAGAAATATAAAATGTTTAGAAGTATATATTTAAATGCCCATGGAATTTGTTCTTTTGATATTAGGTATATTGCCAAACCCTCTTTAGCTAGTTTGCCTATGAAGTTATTTTGTAGGGAAGCTGGGATAACAGTTCCCTGTACGTGGAAGGAACACTTTTTCCATTTTACATCATCTGTCCAGGTCTGTTGGGGTGCATGAAGTGTTGGCTTATTAAGTTATTCATTCATTCAGGTGAATGAATCCAGCATTGTCTCCATGACCTGGGGTCCTTGGTTGTGCACCGCATGGGCTGTTAGAGCCTGGTGCCTTGCAGAAATGCTGGTTTAGGTTATGAAAGAGGTAACAGTTGAGATCAAGTCTTTTGTGACTTGAGAATGATTGATCTAGGCTCTCCTCAGACCCAAGTTTCATTTGGATACCCCTCATAACACTTCATAACACTTCATATACCACCGTTGGAAACCCTTTCCCTGTACACCAGGAAAGAGCTTTTTGGGAGGGAAAGCAGCAAAATGTGGTTTCTCAGTTGCTTTGTGCTCATTAAAACTTCTAGAGAGGGAATAGGGTCTGGACATATACCGAGTATTTTAGTTCTTCAGCCACATCTCCTTTGTTTCACCTTCTCCTCTTCCTCTTCCATATCTGACTATCAGCAGCTGATTCCCTGCTAGGGAAATGTGAGTCTTAATACACTTACAAATGCTTTTTCTCATTGTTCCTGATGACTGTCATGAAGGGATCTTTGTCTTTCATTGCCTCCCATCCAGTAATCTTTCTTCCACTGTCTCTTCCTCTTTTGTGTCTGTTACTTTTCTCTCACCTAAGCACATTTATAATGCCTTAGTACCAGGCTCTTGCATGACTGCCTCTTGTGTTATGTTCCCTAAGATGTGTAAGAGATGTTTTAACAACCTTATCTCACTGTTTACAATAGCTTGGTGCTGCTGTTTAATAAATTATAGGGATAATTGGTTTTTCAGAGTTCACATCTACAACGTATTCCAGCAGGAATGTAACTGTGTCTTTCTTAGCCATTTATTGCTCAGAAACACTTCATATAAAACAGTGAAATAAATGTTTTAGTAGCACATGGACAACAAATTTAAGGCAAACATTTCAGTGCAGTTTCTGCTCTAAGCACTCCCTGTAGGAATCAGTTTTTAGGGCCTGTTGCTGCAGCTAACTAACCAAGAGACTCCTGGTTAGTTCCTCAGGTTCTGTAATGCCCACATCACATACTGGTGAAGCCTTCTGGTCCCAGTATGGCAGACAGTGCAGTTTCACTCAGATACTTCTTCACATTGTATGTACCCCAGTAACCACAGTTGGCACAATGAAACTGGGGGCTTGTTGTGAGCTGGAATGTGAAGTGAGTGCTGCCTCAAGAAAGATGGCAATGGAGAAGACTAGAGGTGTATCGGGGGCTTATAGAAGGGGTCTTCAGTTGCAGCCTGCCCACAGGGTGGTGACCAGAGGGCTCTGCAAGGCATATAAGCTTCTCATCACAAGTCATTATATGAAGAGAGACTACATGTCTCTCTGTAAAACTTAACATCCTTTCATAATATAGACTTGCTGTCCTGTGTAGTGTCCTCACCAAGCCTACTGTGTTTTTTTTCCATCCCATCTACAGATACATTCAATCTGCGTATGCATTCCTTAACAAATCATGTCCACACGTCTGATTCATTTCACCCTGCCTTTCCTTCCTCAAGTCCATCTGAAATGGAGCCACTAAAACAATTGGACCTATCCTGCCTTCCTAGGAGAGGCACTCCAAACATCATTAGGAAAGGTATCTCCCTAACAGAGGAGACTGGTCCGTAGCATCGAAGGACATCACTTGGTTGGTGACATGAAGCTGTCTTGTACTCTTTTCTAGGTACAGAGGGAAGACATACAGGGCAACTGTTAAGATTGTGAGGACTTCGGATCAGGTGGCAGATTTCTGCAGAAGAGTCTGTGCAAAGTTGGAGTGCTGCCCCAACTTGTTCAGTCCTATGCTGGTGGCTGAAGTCTGCCCAGAGAACTGCTCCATTCATACTAAAACTAAGTACAGTGAGTATTGGCCAAAAGGCTTCCCATTGCTACCTGGGAGTTAGAGCAGTGGAAGACTCTGCACCAGATAGTGATGGAGAACGGGATTTGTGTAATAACATTAATACTGAGTAGGATTCATCTCATCTAAGAGCAGTTACTTAATCCTGACCAGGCCACCATAAGCTCCCTTAATATTATGTACGGAGAAATAGGCATCTCCATCTCACTTCATCCTAATACATCTGTTTGAAAGTAATTATTTTTGGAAGTTTTGCCTTTTCTTCACATGTAAAGTTAATATAAGGAGCACATAAAAGGAAGCTGCAGCTGAGATTTAAACTACCTCTGAGACAGCTTTGTTAGGTGAGATGAATCCTGTCCTACTCAGTGAATAATTTCTGGCATACACAGCAGCACAAGCCAGTATCATGATACTGAGGTGCTGGAAGCGATTTGGAAGCACTGACTCTCTTCTCAGGGTTTGTAATATTTAAACATATTCCTGCCTATTCAGGAAGGCTGAAGCTAGGCATGTGTTCAACAGTTTTTTGTTGTCAATGTTACTGGTATTGATTCCAAAACAGGTCAAGAAAGTTGTGTAAGTGCTGTCTTTCTTCCACAAAGGTTGCAAGAAACTAATACGATCCACTCTCTGCTGAAAACATTAGCAACTGAAAGTGTATGTAGCATATAACTCATGCAGAAGTACATTGGATCAAATCTGAAGCATGTTGGCCTCTCTCCCTCCAGATCACTGCTCAGCTTAATGGAAGCTTTGCCTAAGTACCTATTGTTGAACTCTGAACAACTCATCATCAATAAATCTGTACACACAAGAGCTGTAGCTGTCTGTGCTAGTCCAAGATGACATATTTAAACTGGATATTTTTTTCCAAATCAGTGTCTTTTAAAGTCCCTTGTAAAAGCACTCCTAGAAGTGCAGTACTGAATCAGTAGCAAGAAGCAAGCTGAAGTTTCCTTCTCTTGGTGTTAAAGTTTTTAATGGGTATTGTGCTCCATCTCTCCAGCTTATTACTATGGGAAGAGGAAAAGAATCATTAAGCCACCAATAGGAGAAAATAACAACATGAAAAGCGGACACATCAAGCCAGCCAGACGCAGGAAAAGGCGGAAATCCATCTTTGTGCAGAAGAAAAGGAGGTCGTCAGCTGTTGATTTGAATGCTGTGGGCTCTGCAGAAGTATGTATTGCTCTGGGATAAATCAACAAAACACCCTTAGTGCTTTTTTGTCTCCCCATCTGCATCTTGCTTTTGGGGAGCTTCTTAGCAAACCTTAACACTTTCAGTTCACATTTGAATCCCTCCTTGCTGTTCTGTTCTTCTAAAGCCAGTCTTCTTTTATTGGGACATTTTGGGGACTTTTACCCTTGTCCATGCTAGAGTTAGCAATTAGAGGCTTTGCTCCCACCTTCATAAGGCTCACTAGCTAACATGCTGCCTAATATTATATCTTTGTTTTCTTTTCCTTGCTTGTAAGCCTGTAGCCAGGCAGATGAGCCTGTGCTGTGCACAGAGTGAACGTCTGTGATCCATGTCCAAGATCTCTAAGAATTATAATAAATAATAATAACTCGTGGTTTCAAGGGCTTTTATTTTATTCATTAACCATTCATGGTATCTTTGACTCACAACATCAACCAGTAGATTTTTGAGAAGCTTTAGAACACAAGCAAATAGTTTGTGTCCCAAATACATAGTAATTGAGGCCTCAGTCTTTCCAGTATGCTGTGTGGTATGTCCTAGCTTCAGCAGTGATTTGTGTCCAGATACAAGGTGGAGCAGACCTAGTTCTATGTGTACAGTTCCTGAGTGATTTTCCCATGACAGTAATGACAACATTTATGTGTGGTTTCCCTTCCTCAGCTGAGTGCCAGTGATTGCTGCTTTGTGCAATGTGAAATAAAACTGATTTACTTAAATTCCCTCTACTTCAGCTGGAGGGGAATATTTTAGTTAGTTTTCAGTTGATTGCTTGCATCTTCATGACTTGATCCTCATTTAGGTGTAGTTCTGCTTGATTTCCTTAGATTATATCTGCTTCAAAAGATTTTTAACTCATGTTAAGCCTAAATCAACCATTAGCCAAGTTTTTCAACCTTTCAGCCAAAATAACTTTGTCTACAGTTGCTTTTCCACTTAAGACCTAAGGATATGGCTTGGATACATGCTTATGCTTTGATTAGAGCTAAGCTATTGAAACCATTTGAACAATTATATATATACACATATGTATACACATAAATATAAATTTCAAATATATGTATACAAAGTTCAAATATGCAGTTTCCATCGGTTGGTGTGTGCTTGCAGGCTCTGTGTGACAGAAATAACAAGAATCTAGTACAATATCCCTTAGATTTAAATTTGTGCTTAACCTTCAGCAGTTAAGTGTCGGGCTGAAAGTAGGGAAATCCAGGTGAAATCCTCTTCACAGAAATGCCAGATAAGGAGTCAAGGACAAATATGCACTTGTACATCTTAGATATTTTTAAAAGGCACCCAAATTTCTTGCCTTCCTGTACCAGTGACACCCATGACACCTGAAGCAAGGTGGAGGTTTAAATTCAAGCTTATTTCTGATTTTACATAATCTCAAGCATCCTGAGTTTCATTTTATCCTTTTAGTATTTTCCATTTCCCCTTTTCATGCCCATCTTCAGTGCCACAATTTGAGATACCAGCCCAATGTAGGAACAGTTGATGCCAGATGAGTTATTGCTGTTGACCTTTTGTTAGAAACAGATGAATGATTTGCCCGTCATGCATTTTTTTTCTTCTACAAATCTAAATTGAGGGCTAATCTACTTAGCACTGCAATGAAAATAAGTTAATTCAGTTAAAATAAATGTTACCCTGGACCAGCATGGGGATGGACATGCAGTTTGACCTAGTGCCTTTTGATTTGCTGCTGCATTAATCTCTGAGCCTGGATCCTGTTTCTCTGATGGTTCTTGTGCAGGAGAGTGAAGATGACGAGCCAGATGTGATGGAGGATGAGACAGGAAGTGAGGAAACCAGCTCAGAGCTCCGGGATGACCAGACAGATACCTCCTCCGCTGAGGTCCCCTCCACCAGACCCAGGCGAGCAGTCACCTTAAGGAGCAGTACTGAGTCAGACAGACCTCCTCCCATGGAGAGAGCCCGACGGAGCCGGAGACCACAACCCCATTCCTACAGTGAGGCAGAGAAGTGTACTCAGGTCAAGGAAGTGAGTATGTCCATAGGCTTTCACTCGCAATAGCAGTGTTCTTCCTAAATCAATCTTCAGTGCCAAGCCTTCCTCATCTGAGGAGGGCATCCTTGCCCTGGTACTACACAAGGTAGTTTTCTTTATGAGGCCTTTTGATTTTCTTTATAGGAAATTAAGCAAGAAGAGGAGGAGAAGCTCATCCTGGACAGTAATCCATTGGAGTGGACTGTGACTGATGTCGTGAGGTTTATTAAACTGACGGACTGTGCACCCCTTGCCAAAATATTTCAGGAGCAGGTAGAAGTCTTCATAACTCACCTCTTTGTGGTGTCTATTCCCATCACAAAAACAGAGCAGCATGTACCACCTTGGTAGCTGGGCTTGGGGCTTTGACAAAGAGATTATGAGCAGACTTTAGATCCCATCAGGCCAAGTTGGCAAGGCATGGAAACCATTAGAGGCTTGAGTCAGAGCCTTGCCTGATACTCAGACCAAAAACCCCATAGCTTGATTCCTTGTGAAAAGCAGAAGGTTTAGACCTTTCTAGTTCATGCCAAGGTCCATAGTACCATCCTGGTGTCACATAGGTGGGCATCTCAGTGTAGAAGCAGTTAGTGGGTATCTGGTACATAGCAAGCTGTCTCCCCTGTCCTCATAGATTCCACCCTCTGTAAAAACATCAGCCTTGGCAGCAGAAAACTTCTACTTGAAGCCACAACTGGCTGCCTGAGTTTTGTCACTAACACCTAAATAATTTGAGGATGTAGATGCCTGCTTCCCATCCACATCCCCCTGAAGATGTGGCAGTCAGGCCCTTGGATGACCTAGTTTTAGGAGATGCCAGGCATCTCCCCAGTAAGCAGATAGATTTTCAGGAGCAGGAGCCAATGTTCTTCATCTCAAATCAGTGGGAACATGTAATATTTATGTAGAAACAGCCATTCTTTGGTTAATGAGTGACAGCCACTGTGAAAGTAAAGGGAAATGCTAAGAAATCATAGTTAGAATGAAGCAAGAGTGCTTAATTAGTCCATAGCCAATGGCAGTCACTGGTATGGCGAACTGCACATTGAACTACCTTTGATTCTTCACCATGAGTGACTCTGTACTTGAGTAAAGCTGCTTGAACTGGGAGAAGTTGAAGTCTAGAGCAAGGCTGAAACACTCTATAGTGAGATGCTGTAGTCTCTATGTCACAGCGTGCTCCGACCATTTGTTAATCAGCCTGGAGTAACTCCAGGGCCTGAAAGCCAACCCTGTCTCTCCTTTGCCAAAGGGTTTTATGGGGACTTTATTCAAACACAGATGACTGGAGCTTTTCCTTATGATTTGCAAGGAAGCTCTGGTGCAATGGGACAAGCCATCAGGATTCAGTGGAGGGAGAACCTGGGCAGTGGATAGTCCTGATCAAAGCATACATAAGGTGTCCAAAGCCTCCTTGTGCTTAATGCTACCTAACCAGGGCTGTCCTGGGGAGTTTATGTTGCCTGTGAGTTACAGTGCTTTTTCTGTGCTTACATTCTCATCCTTCCTAAGGGGTAGAAAGGAGTTTTGTAGTTGTCTGCTTCTCAGTCCATTAAAGAATAAAGAGGACTTGAGCTCTTAATTAAGAGGAGGATCATAAAACCAACAGAAATCCCAAATAAAATTGCTTTTGTCTGGGTGCTAGGTCATGGAGTTTGGTATATAGATATGACTGAGGGAAGGATGTGACCTCCAGATGTCCATCCCACCCTACACCATTCTGTGCTTCTGGGACATTAGGGAGTTCAATAGCTCTGGGTGGTCCAGGACCCTTCATCTTGGTTATTCAGCAGCTCAGGTGGAGCAAGGCAGGTCCTGGGTGCACCGGGGAACATGGCATGGAGCAAGGCAGACATAAACCTGTGCTGAGCAAATCATGGCCAAAAGACGTGGTGGAAGGGTGTGAGTTGGCAGAGACCAGCATCAGTTTCCCTATTCAGCTCCCTCCTGTATCTCATGGTCTGCCCTGTTTTGGTTCCTCTCTCATAAAATGGGACTAATCAGACCTCTGTGGACCCTGCAGAGTTTCTTTAGGAGCTGATCCTGCATTTCATTAGCTGGGAGGCTTTTGCCAAACTGGGGGCCTATGGAGACATGCTAGACAACTTCTGAAAAAGCATGAGGGATTCCAAAGAAACTAGATGAGAGCAGCATCAGAACAGGAGAAAAAGGCAGAGGACAAAACTGCCTTCAATTCTGGGGGCAAACTTCCCTTCTTGCTTATGCTTTTTGCCCTCCAGAGTCCACAAATAAAACCATTTTCACTGTGTTTTTCTACCCCAGGACATCGATGGCCAAGCCCTTCTGTTGCTGACACTGCCCACTGTGCAGGAATGCATGGAGCTGAAGCTTGGTCCAGCCATCAAACTGTGTCACCAGATCGAGCGAGTAAAAGTTGCTTTCTATGCACAATACGCCAACTGACTGCACTTCCCCATTTTTTTCTGTTCTCCTTCTTGTTCCCTCTCTTTTTTAACATTTCAACTTGTTCAAGGTTGGTTTTTTTCCCTTTTTCTTTTCCAAGAACATGTGGAATTGGAAGCACTGGGAATTTATCTGGAGGGAAGAAAAAACCCAATAATCTGCAAGAGAAAACTAGCAACAAATTGGACTAATTTTTCTGTACTTGTAAAGCACACTAAAAGACTGCTGGCATCTCTCCTCAAGGGCCTCGCCAGCCTATCAGTGGTGCAAGGCCAGCACAGATCAGATCATAGAATCATAGAATAGTTATGGTTGGAAAGGACCTTAAGATCATCCAGTGCCAACCCCCCTGCCATGTGTAGGGACACCTCACACTAAACCATATCACCCAAGGCTCTGTCCAACCTGGCCTTGAACACTGCCAGGGATGGAGCATTCACAACCTCCCTGGGCAACCCATTCCAGTGCCTCACCACCCTCAGAGTAAAGAACTTCTTTCTTATATCCAATCTAAGACTGATGGTTTGTCATTCATTAAAACAAAGCTACCAGTGACAAATGCATTCCCAAGGAGAAGGGTCAGACATTTCCAGATGATGATAGTTTGTCTAGGCCAGTTTCTGGACATGAACGTTTCTTTTAGCCAACTCTGACACACTTCTTTCATATTGAAATGTAAGTGATCATTTTTAGCCTTACCTGGGTCTTACTGCAAATTTGGTCTTAGTGATCAATGGGCTTTTTTCCTCCTGCCTCTCCAATCTTACAAAAGGAAAAAGAGTTATGCCAGTCATATGCTATTTGTTATTCCCGAGTGATTTATCACAGAGGACTCGACCCACAGTCTTTGTACGGTACCAAACAAAGCTACAGTGAACTGACTGGGGTGCAACAAAACCTAGTGTGTGTAACGCATCCTGAGCCACGCTGGCTGTGCACAATAAGCTGAATGTCTCTGTGATGGGATCTGTACAGTACTGCATTCTTGTACAGGAATATGCATGAAAGCTTCCGTAGTCAAGCCCATCCTCTTTAAATCCAAGTTGCTTGAAAGACCTGACTTTGAGCTCCATAGGGTGTGAAAGAAAAGGCTATTCAGATTTTATGATGAGACTGGGTGAATGCTGGTTTCGTTTGCACCTTCATGAATCTGGTTGCTAGGTGGGAATAAAAAGCATCAGTCTTTTCAGGCTTTTTACACCATGGTGCTTTCGACAAACTGAGGATACAGCCCAACACAGTCTATAGAAAGCCAGGCTGTCCCAAGTGCTACCCTAGATAGCAAAACAGGGGACTTGCTTCATGCCAAGCAGGCTAAGCACCAGAGAGGGTGAATAAATGGGTCGGGCACCTTGGGTTGGCCTCAGCTGTGTTTATAGGAGAAATATTTCCAATTTTCTTTGCAGGGCTATATGACCCTGTTAGTCCCACATGTTGAGCCTGGATTTGCTGTAACTCAGCAGAGGTTGGTGGCATCACAGTGATGTAAAATTCTCCCTAAAGCAAGAACCAAACTGGGACCAAGTATGAATTTTGCTCTAAGGTGGAAGTGAATCCCTCCCTCAGAAGTGAATTGGATGGTTTGTGCTGAGTTTTAGCCTGATTTCATAAGAAAGCACTGACTTTGGCAGACGTTTGTTGTTCTCAAACTGTAAACAGACCCTTGTTCCCTGGGCTCAGGAAACTCAGCTTGGAAGTTGTACACAGCTCTCTTCTGATGCTGTGATGCCAAACCCCACTCGGTGAAGACCTCTTAAAAAAGAAATCTCATTTCTAGCTCTAAATCTGAAGACACTCCTTATGGACAGATAACTCCCACCTCAAGCACATGCAATATGGTGACAACAGCCTTGGATCAGATAATGCTGCTGACCTCTGTGTGCTCAGAACTTATTGACTAACACTAGGCTATAGCTGCTGCTTTCTCCTTCATCAGTTTCCTTCTTAAATTCCTGGGATTAAAGGGGAAAAGCCTCAGAAATAAATATGCTGGATTTCATCTGAATTCACCCTAGAGCATGTGTTAAGCAAGAATTACTGACTCCATTTGCCATGCATCACTGGGGAATTTCAGTCTTTCATTGAGTTTCCCTATTTTCCACTGAGGAATGTGATGGGTGCACCTGCTGCGGGCTGGGCCAGATCCTGCCAACTCCTGAGACTTCATCAGAAACTTCCTGACCTGAGAGATCAGCAGGACTGGGTCTGTTCCTGATGTTGTCTCGTACTGAAGATCCTGTTGTTCAAGTTTGAACCAGCTGAACAGAAAAGTAGTCACCTCTGTATCACATGTTTTTTTTTGTTTCTCAGAAATCCAGAAGTTTTCAGTAGTGGTACAGACATTCAGACACTGGGTTTTAGACTGGATTTCCTACTGATGGTAGCAGTGGACTGTGTCCATGCAACTGGTTTGACAAGTCCTCTGGATCAATCTTAGGGTCCCTTAAAGATGTTGCTCCTTGATTTGTCTCTGAAGACAAAAGGATTGTGCCCAGCAAAATGAGAGCACAGTCCTTCCAATGGCTGGTACAACATCTGTCAGCAGGAGATAGCTCCCAAAAGACTGCTGCCAGGAGAAGTGACATATGAGGACATTCAAGAAAGCGAAGCAGAATGGCTGTTCTCTAACCAACATTCCAGCACTGATTCTTTACTTAGCACATCCACCTTCTTCTGAGCTTCCTTTGCTGCTCTGATGTACTTGGAGTTTCCAGCCTCTGGGATTTGTCAGAGACATTTAACACTTCCTGGGATGAAACCATCATTATTTTCCTCATCAACCTTGTACCTGTAAATGCTCTTATGGCAGCTAACTACTCATGGAGCTACAGCCGGGGAGCAGACAGCCACAGACTCTGAGAGCAACCAGCTCTGATGGTGGCCAGACAAAGGATGGGTGAAGCATAGACCCAAGCACATGGGAATCTTTACTGTTTGTTCAGGGAAATTAAATCATATTTAAAACTCACCTATTAAACAACAAAAAAAAAGAGTTTTAATTTTACCTTGCGCCTGCTTTTTTTATTTTCTCAGGTTTCTTTCTCCTCACCATTTGTCTTGCAATTTATTGTTCTTCGGTTTGGTCTCATTTATTACTCTCTGTTCTTCCAGAGAAGATGATAGACTGGAATCTGTGTCCTAAAATTGCCTTGGGTGGTAAATGCTTTATTATTTCTTTTAGTCTGCAGGTTGGGAAGAAATAGGGGACTGGGCTCCTGTTGTCTGTTGCACTGAATGCCTTCCAGAAAAGCTGGAGCTGAACTTCTTAGACAATTTCTTAAGCAAGTGGAAAATGAATGGTATGCTTGAATTGCCACTTACAGCTTGAGCAGAGATCAGAAGGAACTGTTTACTCTTGCCTGGACTTCATTTCAATTTTGGAACATTAGAAGGGCTTTGGAATAATGTGCTTCAAAGGAGATGTTGGAAATCTGATCTTGCTAGGGTAAATGTCACTTTACTTTGCAATGTAGAAATACAAGCCACTGGAAGGCTTTTCTAGTCTTAGTTAAATTCAGAGCTGGTGCAACTTCACATACACCGATGACATTGGTGATGCCACTTCTTCTCCCCACCCCTGTTCTGAATTTGGCATCCAGGCCTGAAGTTTGTTGTGTTATCAGCTACAAAAGGTGATCACTGTGAAGTGCTGAACTCATGGTTTTCCAAGACCATTGCACAGGGCTGAGGAGCAACCTTGATGTTGCTTTTGGGCTGTTGGATGCTGAACTTCAGCACATTCATAGGGACCACTTTGCTCCCACAGGAAGATGTAGGCAACTGTTACTGGCCTCTGTTCAGGCATAGGGCCAAGGGTGGGCATTTCTGGAGCAGAAGGAGGGTGTTGAAGAGTGTATGGTACTTGCCCATCTTCATCTGCTCCTTTTGAGCTTGCTCTCAGTCAGGTTGAACAGACCCATGCACAAGTCCCTGCTACCTTCCCAAACCCCTCAGCACTTACCTTGACAGTATCAGCCAATTCCCACTCTGCAAGCCCACGGTGCCAGTCTGCAAAATTGGATTAAAGCATTGATTTAGAGGAATGTCCATGATTCCCTGTGTGGCTGTCCTGCCTTCCTCCTGCTGTCATGGATGCTTCTCTCCCACCTTGAAGAAAAATGTTGTCTTTTGACTTCAGAGCTTTTCTTCCCTTTCCAGCTTGAAAACACAGCTCCCATCCACATTCCCATTTTGTTTTCAGCACCAGGATCACCAAACCCTGACTTTTTCTACCTGTCAGAGGTGCGATGGCCTCTCAGCTCTTGAGAAGGATTTTATGGTCTCCAGCTCCACCGTGTTAACCAAATGCAATAGCTCTTGATAGGTCCTGCAGGGTGCAGAACACCTCCTAGAAATGCAGTGTGTCCTCAGTGACCACTGGAGTCAGTAGATGGTTACACACCCTGTCCTTAGTGAAGCATCAACTGAGGCATGTCCTAGCTGAGATGGCCTGACCCACACTGCCAGAGGTATTCAGATGTCTGGTAGGATTCACAAAGTTCCTCACTAAGTTGAACACCTAAAACCCATCAATATTTCACTCTGGGTAAACATCTAATTTGCCTTAAACTGGGAAGTCACCATTCGTTGGCTTTAACCTTCAACCTTTAGCGGTCCCCAGTCCTGTGGTGTGGAGCAAACACCATCTCAGCTCTTTGAAGGCAAACCAGGCACTGCTGGGCTGCCATAATCAACATTTGGTCATGTAAAAAGCCTCCTTTGCTCTTTTCAGGGCACAGAATTGGGTTTGGCAGAGCTGCAGAGCCATCGCAGTGTTTTACAAGCTCAGTACCATCAGGGCACTTCAGATACTTTTTGCTTTTCTGGTGCAGTGTGTCTGGAAATCAGTGAACTTGGACTTGTCTTCCCATTTCCAAATTCAAGTGCCAAAAGAGAAGAACATGCTGCAACTGAATTCCATTAAAACCAGCTTTATTATATGTAGATAAATATAGTCTCAAGGGCTCCATTTTGGTGCTAAGATATGTCAACGCTTTATTTTCCATTGCTTGGGATTACAAAGCTGATTCTTTACTCCAGGAAATATTTTCTGTGATCTGCAACATCTTAAGCATTATGATTTATTTCCTTTTTTGTGCCTGTAGATTTTTTTTACTCAGATACGCTCAACAAATACACCAACCCCCAATCATGGGAGTTTAGGAGATGTTTTATACAGTATATTTATGTAAAAACTCTTTCAAAATGGGGTTGCATGTATATTTTCCCCTCAGTGATATCCTTTATCACATCCGCTGACCCAGAACTAAAGGAATCTGTTACTCAGGATTGGATCCAGCAGTAACTGAGGTTAGTGGAAAGGCCCTGACAGATTCCTTCTCCTAGCAGGCAGAAATCTATCTGAAATCTGCCAAACTTAACAAGAGAGGGCTTGTGTCCTTAGGTGCTCATGAAATCCCAATAAAACAGCAGAAGCATTTAATATTCTCATTTATTCTTTGGTACAATAGTCTAGCAAGAAGTGTAAATGATCTTAATGGCTGCATTTAGAATATTAGCCAGTTATCAAAGATGAGAGGTTTACAGCCCAGTAGTCATTTAAATGTCAGCTGTGCTGCAGAAGAAGAGTGGTTTTGCAGTGATTTCATGCCACGCACTGGAATTCTCTTGTAGAAGATGACGCGTGAACAGCACAAAACCAACATGGGTCATAGTTTTAAATTCTCATGGCCTTTCTCTTGTTTTGGTCTTTCATGTTAATTCTTACCCTGAAAAATGTCTCATGTTTCTAATGTAAAACTCCAGCCTCTGTAATGGCCCATGACAGAGCACACCAGCAAAATACATTATTATCCATCATCACACTATAGATGAGATGGTTGTTGACAAGTAGTTAGATCAGGTGAGACAAGGAGATCTTGCTTCACACCTTCTTGAAGAAGCTGTCTATGCATCCTGAAAGGCAGATGTTCCCCACAGTTCACTGTGGAGGGACAAATGTTTCCAGTGATGCTATTGCTGAATAGGTCACACAGCCCAAGTAACCTAATGCAGCAGGTCAGTTGCTGTGTGCTGCCTACCCACAGATATTCCTGGTCTTGATGTCTGCCAAGGATGTGGGAGAAGGGAGGGAGGGTTTCAGGGAAGGAAGGAGGGCTTGAGATATCTTTATAGGGAAGGGCCTCTCCCAACAGAATGCACAGCTATGGTCCATAAGCATCATTCCTGAAGGCTTCTCTTGAGTATCTTTCAGAGCAAAGATGGTTTGAATCCCAAGAGGGCCAGATGAGATGAAGGAAAGAAGCTGGCAATACGCTTGAGAGATACAATGCTGAAAGGTTTGTATTTTGTTTCCCTGGTGGAGATACAGAGATTTAGCTCAGGTGGGTCTATACTTGGCTGAACAGTAGGGAAAATAAGTCTTTTCCTTGTATCAAACTCCTGTGAATTTTCTGGCTTTGGAGGGGCTGAAGAACCTCCTCTTGCACCTTTCAGACCTCCATAGGAAATGTCAGGGGGTAAAACCTGAGCTCTCTCCCATAGAAAAAATGACATTGTTCTGAGTTCAGGTTGTAGGTCTACAAAACACTCTGTGTTCTGATGTGACAGGAAGAAAACGATCATCCCCAAGTCACCCCACCTGCTTGTTGTTGCTCAGTCTCATGGGAGATTATGGACCTTATATCTGCTTATAAATTAGTGCATCAAATTGCCCAATCTCAGTTCCACCAAACCTTGAACAGGATGTACCATGTGGGGACAAGGCAATCACTTAAACCCTTCTGTCTCTTATGAACAACAGAAATTAGCTCCGCATAACCAGCAGTTATGGTCCATTCGTGGTGATGCACGTTGGAAACCTTTGAATTGATTGCATTCCAGTTTGTACTGAAGATTTTCTTCAAACTCTGTGTATATAATCCCTTTGGTGTGTTACAAATATGTATGTGTGTATATATATGTATATATGTGTGTGTGTATATGTACGTGTATATATATACATATAAATCAATCAATGCTGGTGTTTTTACTTTTTGAAGTTCACAGGGCAAAGGGCATGTTGTTAGTTTGCTGTAAGATTCTATTCTGTATATATGTTTTCATGTAAATAAATGAAAATCTATATTCAGAGTTATATTTTAATTTTTATTCAAAATGAAATAAATCCCCTTTTTACTTCAAACAATTGTAAGCCACATTGTTAATAAAGTAACAATAAGTCATATCTGTTTCCAAGGTAGTTTTTTGCTTGGCTGGGCAGTGAGGGTTCTGTTTTGATTTGGCTCATCCCTAAGGAGGTAAGGTGAGAAAGCCATCAGCTTGGCTTTACTGCACATACCAACTTACCTCCATCTTGAGTGACCTCATGTATATTCTAAGACAGGCCAGTCTGGATTTATCTCTTGCAGTGTAAGACACTTACAGAGGGATCTCTGGAGGCTCCCTTTGTGTCCCTAGATAGAAGCACCTGCAGAAAGCTTTAGGTTGGCCACATTGAATCACTCAGTGCCTTTGGAGGACATCTAGAAAAGGTGAACTCTTCATTTAGGTCAATACTAAAGAGAGGGTGAAGCTGAGCCAGTAGCCAGTCTAAATGGTTGGGCATAGATAGGCATTAGCTGTGGTTGGATCCCTCAGAGCATAATAGACACACAATGGTATGACTTCCAGGCAGTCCAAGCAGAGGTGTTTCTCCACGTATATGTGCTCCACATGCTCCACACCCCAGCCCTGATGAATGTGTCCAAGCTACCTGGACCACAGGTTCCCAAGCCTCCAGGGAGGCACAACACAGCCTCCTTGGTGTTCACCCTCTATATAGATGCCAGTGTATGTATGTCCAGCCTGTGTGCTTGTGATTGCCCCAACCCCAGTGCAAGACCTTGCACTTGCCTTGTTGAACTTCATGAGGTTTGCACAGTCCCACCTCTCAAGCCCGCTCAAGCTCCTCTGGATGGCATCCCTTCCCTCCAGTGTCGAATGCACCACGCAGCTTGGTGTGCACTTGATCCCACTGTCCCTGTGACTGACAAAGATACTAAACAGTGCCAGTTTCAATACCACTCCCTGAGGAACACCACATACAACATTTCTCTGCAGTTAACAGGATGTATTTAGCATAAATTCCAGCGTTGCAAGTGAGTTATTCTACCTTTCAGACCTCTTAATGAGCCCTGCTCAGAAAGTTTCTATTTGTTGGGCTTGCTTGGGTACTGGGCACTTGCTGCTGGTCTCCTTACCCATCCCTTCTGCCCAAATGAAAGGGGGGTTAGTGCACTCTGAGACAGCACTATTGCATCCACTGATGTGTGCATGGGAGAAAGTGAGCACAGAGTCTACGGAATTAGCTAACAAGAACTCATATGACCCTTGGGTTCTTTTTTCTTTTTGCTCCATCAATCCCATTCAGATGTGTCTTTATGATACAGCAAAAGTGGAGAAACAGAATTGCTCTTTCCATGGCCCACTGTTTCTCTTAGTACATCAAGACTGGCTATTCTTTAGTAGGCAAAAATACAAGCATGGACAAGCAAATGGGTTTAGGGCAATTTTACAAAAGGATCAAACCACTGGGAAGATTTCTCTTTACAGTGTCAACAAAGTCTTAGGATGGAAATTTTCCTGTGTTACTCATTATGACACTGTAACCACCAGCCAACATTTTGGGAAGGACAAAAGCGGAGATTGTCAGACAAGTGACCTGTCCAAAGAGCCTTAGAAATAAAGCATCAGCCCAATATAGTGATGTGCGTTGACGTATGACTTGCTAGATCACAGAAGTCCTCACTGAAAGGTGATGTAGAGAATTGGAAAGATTTATACAATGAAATAATTCTGAGCTAAGTCTGAAGGCGACATACAACTAAAAGAGCGAAAGCTTGAATGTTTAATGATATTCTTCAGAAGCCAGAGGTGAAAATAAATCCATGTATCTCCCTGCAGCTTATTACACAGTCATTTAAAAGTAACGCAGAGGTCAGACACTGGTTTTTAGACTTCTGCCCCTGCTCAGGGGAAACATATCCAGACGTCTGCAAAGAGCTAATTTTTCAGGAATGTAATACAAAGTGATTTTAGTCACATGCTGGCAAGGTATTCCAACTGAGCTCCTTGAAATTAATGATCAGCACATGAAATATAGTTGAAATATAGAATTTCCTCAGGGAAATGAAGGTCTGCCAGCCTTGCTTCTGACATCACAGGCCAAGGTTTTGAAGACGTCTCCATTTTTAGTGTTGCAGTTTTTCATGCTGATCCATTTGGGAAAGATTTCTAGGTGCTTCGCCTGATCTGCAGGCACAACCAAGCACTCATGTAAGCACTAGTATGAGCACCAGCATGGAGTCAACTACCCCAGAAAAACACCTACAAAAATGAGGTTGGGTTTTCAGGTCTCTGAGGAAACACCATCTTTCTTTTCTGCATACAGAATGAGCAATAAAAAGTAGGTAGTTATATTTCTTTCCTAACGTTTTTAGACAGCCATTCAATACAAATAATTACTGTTTTTAATAACCATATTGTTGCTGTTACTGCTACTTTTGTCAGCATTGTTATTGCATTTCTAATTTCCAGATTCATACCTTTCAGTGAAGTTTAATGGTTCTCCCAGTCCCCTCCTGCTACAGTATTTACCTAAGAATGATACACCTCTTGCTATAGTGTCTGTACTCAATTACCATAAGTTGATTTTATAACTGCATCTCAGCTGAAGTTGTAATTACACTGTCTTCTCTAATAAGTCATAAAATCCTAAATGCAGAGAAATATTATGCTGCAGGACACCTTGAGGTGTTGAGTGCTTCCCCTCTGCAAAGCAGGACCAATCAGACAAATCTTATTCCTATTTGGCATTTGTTTAACCTGACCTTCAGATGGGTGTCAAAATAAGGCCTCCAGCAACAAGTGATTCCCCAGCACTTCTACAGCATATAAAAATAAGTGATGGCATTTGGATGATGAACTGTAATATTCCCAGGCAAAACCACTGAGCTGATGTGGCCATTGAATGGCAATTTCATTTTTAGAAGCTCAATATGACTATTGATTGCTGTGGCAATTAATAAAAGTAAAACCAGAAAAATCACAGTTAAGATGGATTAGATTTCACGTAAGCAACTGTGATAGTAATTTCCATCATAAGGCCTTAGCTGGGGAGGTAGAGCATATGATCTGAAAGTGGCAGCAGATATTGGTACTAGTTAACTTCGCTGCAATCGTTGTACATGTGTCTCTGCATAAGTCACCTCTGGCAATAAATCTTTGTAATACCGAGTTTCCAGCTTGTGTCCTGGCAGCTCAGTGGCTCAGTGACCCACGTTCATGCTGGCTGAAGAAGGTCAGATCCAAAGCTGCGAGGACTAAACAGCAGGGTTTGACCAGCCATGCCTATCTGTGAGTTGGTGAGCCAGGAAAGAGCTGTTTGCTATTAAAAGGAGTAGATGGGCTTTATCATACTTGGACTACTGTAGATAACAGGTTAAAGTCCTGTTGCTTTAAGTGCAGATTGCTCTGTTATGTACGACTCTCCTTCCCCTCACACAAGAGTAAAGGACATCACTCTGTTCCTCTTGCTTACATTACCCACACAGCACTTACTCATTTCTGTGCAGTTTTTCCAGCTGATTGACATAACTAAGTCAAATATAGAGCAACTACTGTTGGTGTGTGCTTAGTCTGGGGTTTGCTGCTGCTATTTCAGATGTGAAACATGCGCACATGTAGGAAAGCCCACTCTTTCCATGTGTATCAGCTGGATGTATAGAAGGAACAGCCCGTCTCCATAAACCTACACACACACACTCGGAAAACTCAGGAAATATTCCCTGCCAAGGCAATTTGCAGTCTCTTGTGATGAAACCTAGAGAAAGGTGAGGACCTTTTAAAGTGGGGAAAGTGTTATTATCACTTTCACGGACTTGTCATTGAGACCTGGAGACCCTGCAGCAGTCAGGAACCTTGTTCTCACTGGTTTAAGGTGAGATCACACATATCTCTAGGGAAGAGCGTGCTGGGGAGATCACCACATCAAGATGCAATCATTGCTCTGAAGTTCACTTTTGTTCCTAGTTGGAAGGACCCTTGAACATCCAAGCTTTAATCTTGATTCTGCACAGGAAACCTGCAAACTCTGCTGAGCTCCTGAATGTATGGTTGACCTTAATTGCATTTTACCAAGGCAGCTTTCTACATTACAGCCTCCACAGTGGAAATTTACCTAGCTAAGGAAGGCTTCAGCACAGCAGGTCCCCAATTACAACTGCTCAATGCTGTGCTTCTGAGTGCCAGGCCATTGGCACTTCATTTTCCTGCTCTGTCTTGAAGATCATAGAGGCAAGCACGAAAGAAGAGCTGTGAAACAACTTGAGGATGCTCTTTGTCCAAGGACCTACTGTAGGCTGAGTTAAAGCCCTAAAGTTATCATCTATCATCCTTTTAAGGGACAAAACCTGAATGTGCATCTCCAGTAAGTAATAAGAATATCTTCCACCAAGAACTTGGAATAAATTCATACACCTCTTTCCTGTGGGAAAGTCCTGTTGTCCTCTCTTAGCCCATTAATCCCTGGGGCAGACTAGGATGCTCCTGCACAGCACACAGCATGGCAGTGAAAAAGTGGGAATCCTTTTCCCCATTCTCCCCGCTCAAGGCTCTCCCATACACCTCAAATGCCAGTGTAAAGCATTCCACCTCTTTCAGGTGGCTGGGAACACTGCATCCCTAGGAAGACAGTTGGGATGGTGCCTTGGTCATGGCATTTCTGGCTGAAATCTGGATTTCTGTAAGAGGACACTGACTTGTGGGAGGGCAGAAAGAAACTGATCCAAGCCCCAATATTTGTTGATAATGAGGTGAGTGGAGGAAAAGATTGTGCCCACAGGTCTCAAAGAAGGTCCTCCCCAAGAGGCACAGATGCAGCAATGACCACAGCTTCAGATGCATGTGATGGAAGCATCTGGTTCAGATCTAGTCAAGACAATCTTTCCTTTGAGTTAAAAGAAGCAGGAAGCGAGGATGGGACAGGCAATAGGAAAGGAAGGAGAGATGATGGAAAGTGGACAAGAGGCCTGAAATCTAACTGGGGAATTAGGCACCCAATGTTAAGGGATATTGTTTTCTGCCATGATTCCTCTGAAACCCAATTCAACATGTTCAGAAATGTGTTTCAAGGTTTTTTTCTCTTCTGGGAGTGGAGTTGCTATTGCACAGGAATTTGGAGTTG